TAACTAATTTCTTTGTAATCATATTTTCAAATATACCTTTACGCAACAAAGAAATCCAATATACAAAAATATATATAAATTTATTGTTATATATATATATATATATATATATATATATATAACAATAAATTTATATATATATATATATATATATATATATATATATATATATATATATATATATATATATATATATATATATATATTTATATATTATTATTATTATTATATTGCTAGTTTTATTATAATTAAGTTGATTATGTTAATTATCACTCATGATTTTATACATAGTATAAATTCTTTTTTTTTTTGGGAAGTGTGAGGGGAGGAGGGATCTATCACCTCTCATAGTGGAAAATCTGTGTCTGTGGGTAGTGTTATGTTGTAATGAAAGAAAATATCGAATTAAAATTGTGTAAGTAATGTTACATAGACATTACGTGTTTTTATTATAAGTTATAATATTTTTAAATACTGTTGGACGATAGGTGTAGCCCTTATTAGCTTGTTTGTTTTGTATCACATATAATGCCAAGGCAGAAGCTCTAATTGGGGATTGTATAGCACAGTGGCTTAGTCATTGAACTATCGTCCCTTTAAATCAAGTTCGAACCCAGCAATGCTTTCGTTCTCCTAAAAGGTAGGCTTAAGCCTGCTTCCACAACCCTTCCAAGGGGCCTTAAAAAAGTGGTGGTCGAAGGTGATTCTGGCCAAATTACCGCGACTACCCTTTTATCTTAGAAAACAAAATTATATGTTCTTAAATATTTTTTTTTCAATTTAAAAAGAAACATTACTAAGATAAATATTTTTAAAAAACCACACATTGATTAGAGGATTACGGCAACCACCTACGTGTTTATGTATAAACTAAATAAAATTTTGCCCAGATAAAATCTTGGTTAAAAGTTAAAACACAAAAATTGAAAATTTGTATTTTTTTTTATTTTTTATTAAACACTTTGGAATGAAACAGGAGGGGCCCAGAATAGGATTTCATGGCAACTTAGGCCATAAAATTTTTTAGGTTGGCATATTTTGAGATATTTTATAATTTTTGCACATTTCGATGGGGTTATGAATTTTCAAATATATGAATTCAGTAAGAAGTTTCAAACCAGGGGACAAGAGGAAAACAAGAAACAAACTGTAGCAAGTATAAATGATCTACGATTTTTCTAATTCTACTTTTCGTTGCACTGTTTTTTAGAAGAGATCAGCAATCAAATATCTTTGGAGGTGAGGGGAGAATCATATACCATCAACCTTGGGAAGGAGGGATGGGCACCTCTGGAATTTTAAACATTTTATAAAGTTGCTTATAATCTAATCCGTATTAAACATATTTTCGATATTATACTACGAGATGAAACTTTTTTTTTTAAACATAATTCCTCAGTATTTATTATATGATTATCGATACTAAATATTGAACTTAATTAAATGAAAATTCCAGAGATGAATTTATATAAATTTATAGAAAATAAAAAAACTCAAGCAAAAATATTAAAATTGTAACTTAAAATATTTTTATATGAATTTTTTTATTGTTTGTTATCCGTTCTATGAATTGTGTATATATTTCCACCAAAAGGCACCTAAGGGTTATTTTAATCTGGAAGAAGAGAAAAATGTATTCTGGGACTGATGTCCTCTAAGAATAATAAAAATGCTTGAACATTATGCATATTAGTCTGGTAAGACATTTACAAAATATTATAGATCAATCACCTATTAGTTGTAGTTATTACAGAAGTGAACAGTACTTGCATTGATGCTGTAGTTAGAATATGAAATAAGAGAAAGAATAGGAATAGTTTAAAGTAAGTTTTGGATGGAGGTTAATGTATAGACTTACTAAAGAATTTCAAAATACTGTAGCAAGAATGACAAAAGATTTGCTGTTGACAAAGCGGTTTCATGGGTGGAGATATAAAGATCCATAGATTGAGATATTATTTAGTGGCTAAATAGAGGAATATAAAAAGAAGTTCAAGAATTCAAGGAGGTTTTTTTGGTTCTAAGACTTGAAAAAGAAAAACATGAAGGAGGAACTGCAGTCTGAAAGTGAAATAGAACGATTTCAATTCGGTAGGCAAAGATGAATCTTAAGATACAATTCATGTCTCTTCAGTCTCTTATCTAACCCAGCAAGAAGCTTAATGTACATCAAGTAAACATAGTCAAAGTGAGGGAAACAGGAGATGATACAAGGAGTTGTATGGTCTCCTATGCAATGGAACAATGAACCCTTAAGATTTGTTTAAGGACAGTTATAGATTATTGTGAAATCTGGAAAATATGATAATCCCTGAAGAGGTTCTGATCATAGGTAACTCCAAGATTTTTGATGGATTGAAAATGAATAGGTTGCCTATTGAAATAAAGTAGTAGAGATATTAGGGATTCAGATACCTTTTTTTAAGGTAAAAATCCAAGTAACCTCTTGTTGGGTCCAAGTGGTCACAAATTTTCACACTCTTTTATCACGCTGAGTCTTTATATTATTTTTATATATCAAGTTAAAGCTATCCCAAATCTTTATTATTATTTGGTTGGCAAAAGAATAGTTTCCGTTTTAAATATCCCGCGTTATGGCAAGTGCTGGATGGCAGATCTAAAAGATAAAAGATAAAACTTGAGCTTTGAGAGAGACTCGAAGCCTTGAGGCCACTACCTGACCAGCATTGAACCAGCAAGGACCGACAGACCGATGGCGGGGGTAAAAGGTTTTTTACCTTCCAAGGTAAAAAAGATGTAGGCTGGCACATAGACGGTAAGCTATTTTTTTTCACTATCATAAACCTACCAATCCCTTAACATACAGTCCACTGCTTAAAAACTAGAATATTACCATAAAATTTAGAATGTTGCCTTATTGAGACTCATGAGAATTATTTTGCCATAATTGTAAAAGTTGCCTAAACATTATTATTAAATAATGAGAGGAAACGTATGCCTTAAAAAAGCATTTTACCTAAGAATAAAAAAGTAAATTCTAATAATTTTCTTTAAAATTTTCAACAATTTAAATACTAACATTTTGCCATAGATATTTGCCCTTTACACACTAAACCATCGTTTCAAATATGATTAATTTTACTATTTCATCTATTGAAAGGGAGTGTCTGTCAATTTTAAATAAAAGGGATAGAGTCTTTAGTGCATATTTGTATTTTTAATTCTAGATTTATAGAATCAGTCACTTATACATATTTAATTAATTAAAAATAAATTAATTATTTTTGTTTAAATTAGACTGAATTTTATCTGTATGTATTTTAATGCATCTGGATGAATTTCATCATTTGAATATAATATATATTAAAATAATTTGAGATATATTTGAATATAATATATTTCAGATATAATTAAAGATAACTGAAATGGTCGTTATGACTTTTATGTAATAATTATTCATGTAATAATATGAATATGTAATAATAATTATTATAATGAATTATAATTATAAATATTAGTCATATTTGAATAAATAATTTTTTACTTCAATATTTAAAATAACAGATAACAGATAACAGCTAAATTAGCTATTAGCGGGGCCAAGAAGCTAACTTTTAGCGCAAGTTAACTTTTAGCTTTTCTTACCGCTAACCGCTAATTATCTTTATCTGTATCTTCAACTAAAAGCTAATAGCTAACTCTTCGGATTTCATTGATCTTCGAGTCGATTATGACGCTGGGGGGCGCTTTTTATGAAAATAATGTCGGATTTTCGATAGTGCCCCCCCCGGCAACGAATTTTTGTAACGTCTCTGATTTAATCAATATATGGGTCGACTATGAGGTTTTCGGGGGCGCTTTTTATTAAAACAATGTCGGATTTTAGATAGTGCCCCCGGGCACCGACTTTTTGTAACTTTTCTGATTTAATTGATATATGGGTCGACTATTAGGTTTTCGGGGGCACTTTTTATGAAAAAAATGTCGGATTATAGATAGTGCCCCCCGGGCCTCGACTTATTTAACTTTTTGGATTAAATCGATATCAGGGTCGACTATTAAGTTTTGGGGGGCGCTTTTTATGAAAATGATATCGAATTTAAGATTGGGCCCCCCCGCGCCTCGACTTTTTTTAACTTCTCCGATTAAATCGATATTAGGGTCGACTCTTATGTTTTGGAGGGCGCTTTTTATGTAAATACTGTTGAATTTGAGATTGCGCCTCCTCTTCGTTTTTTTTTTTTTTTTTGTACTCTGATCTTTAATCTGACATTTTTTTATTTTTTTCATAAAAAGCGCTCCCCAGAACCTATTAGTCGACCCTGATATCGATTTAAACCAAAAAGTTAAAAAAAAGTCGAGTCACGGGGGACCCAATCTCAAATTCGATATCATTTTCATAAAAAGCGCCCCCCCCCAAAAAACATAAGAGTTGACCCTGATATCGATTTAATCAAATAATTTAAAAAAATAGAGGCCCAGGGGGCCCAATCTCAAATTCGATATCATTTTCATAAAAAGCGCCCCCCAAAACATTAGAGTTGACCCTGCTATCGATTTAATCGGAAAAGTTAAAAAAAGTCGAGGTCCGGGGGCACTATCTAAAATCCGATAGAATTTTCATTAAAAGCGCCCCTGATTACATAACAGTCGATCCTAATATCAAATAATAAAATGAAATAAATAAATTTTCCTCCTGTGTTAGCGTTAAGTTAGCTTTTAGTTAAGTTAATAGTTAATTTATCTCAAGCTAAAAGTTAGCGGTTCGTTTCCGCTAAAAGCTAATTTAGCGCTAAAGTTATCTGCGCTAAAACAGTTAGAAGCTAAATTAACTTAATATTTAGCGCCGCTAATTTTAGCTTTTTAGCGCTACGTTAGCTAGTTAAAAATTAGCGCGCTAACGCCCAACTCTCGTTGAAATTCTGATTAGTACATTCGGCCTCTCATAGGTTTCGCTTGCGTAGTGGAGTTTACTAATGTTAAGGTTATAAACATTAGAACACGAGTTAGGATTTGATTAGGAATATCATCAGTTTGAAATGATTAATTTTTGTGTTCCTGGTAAGTAACACAATATGAATATTACTTTGTATATGTATTCAACTTTAGTTAACATTCCACTTAATTGCTATTATTGAACTTTAACAAAGTCTGACAATTGAAATAAATTATTTTATTTTTTTATGGTTAATAGTCTTTACATATCAAATTTGGCGTTTCTATTTGGGTTTAAAAATTAAAATCTAGGCTTTCTGATTTATTATTATTAATAAAAAAGAACAGTTTATCTCCAGAGAAAGTGAATGTGTATATGTGTCTATACAAGTTGCCTAGAATGAATTTTACTTGCTTTTATTTCAACATTGTTTTTCAATAATAATATTAATTAATTAAACCAGTTTTCATTGAGAAACTATTTTTAGATCTAGACGAAATGTGTGATGAAAATCTGTCATTAATTATTCTCAATTTCCAACTTCATTATTCATTTGCATTACATAGAGGACCCTCAGTATTACTTGGCTTGTTGATATAAGAATTAGAATATAATATAGGTTTCACTCTGACCATAGTTTCTGATTATTTTATAAATCAATTCGGCTTAAGTGGATAAAGCGTGTTCCAAGTTATTCATGATATCATTTCCACCAAGTTATATCTGAAAAATCTATCGTTTTTAATATCTTAATGTTTTGTACATCTAAGATATTCCTTTTTTTTTAAAGGAAATTAAAAAAGTCTTATTTTATTCTATAACAATTTTCAATCAAATTTGAAGCAGTGCACATTACTGCTGTTTTCCGTTTGTAGTTCTAATTTCATGTAATTGTTGTATATGATAGAAAATAAATAAAAATACCATATATCTATACTTTATTTACTTTTCTGACCTGACTACCGCATGTACAGGTACCATTATCATCTAAAATTCTGGATACTTGATACTGTTGTCAGGTGTTTTCCAATAGAAAAAAAAAAGATTTTGAATCTGATCAGTAATTTAAAAAACTAATATTTTAAGTAATGAACAAAACAATTTATAGGAACACGATTGTGTTTGGCTGGTGACACTCATATACCTGGAACAGGAACATATGAGCGAAAAGGATACATATACTCAAGCTTGGCAGGCATTGTTAAAATAACTGAAAAAGAAAAGGTAAATAATAAATGATACTTTGTATTTGTTGTAATATTACTATAATTATTGTGGAGGTGGGCAGCATATAGCAGAAGTCAGTATATGAGGGAGTGATTTTTATGTAACATTTCTCTCATCTTTTCATCTGTTTCCATAATACATTACTACTTCTAGGGGTAGCTCAAGTTTTCATCCACTTTGTATTCTGGCCTCTACTGTAGGAAAAAAGATTCAATGGCGGAGAGGAGTCTCTTGGAGTATCATATTAGGAGTCTCCAATTTCGAAAAGGCTAATGTCAATAGAAGATCTTTTATTATCTTAGTGCATGTTTAGAAAACATTTGGACCTGAAACTTTTTAAGAAGATCAAAAAATAAAAGTTCTATAAAACTTTTAATTGGAAATTAAAAGAAGTTCTAGTTCATGGAAAAATGTCTGAGTTCTGAAATATTATGAAAACAATAAAAAGTAAAAATTGTTTCAGATACTTTGGAAGTAAAAAAGATCGAAAATAAATGTTAACTTTTTACATCTATGTCTGGAAAATACGTTTAAATAGTGGTATGAACTCTGCTCTAATTTGGAAAAGGGAATTGGGACCGGCAAATGGAGCTTATAATATTTTTTTCCATCACCTGGTGGCAACTTATAGGTTGTCATCCCGTACTAACCAGATCGTGTGTGCCAAGAATCATTTCTTTCAGTCAGAAATGAATATTAGCTGACAGGTGAGAATCAAATCCACAACTTTCAGAATTGGGCATTCAGAAATACCTTATCCTAACGTGGTTGAAAGATACAGTCATTAGATATTCTCTCAGATTGAAAAGCAAAATCTCAGGATAAAAAAATTATATTTGAAGTTTTCTTCCTGGTTAGATACGATTTTTTTTCCCTTTACTACTACCTATAAGATATAATTTCCCAAAGAGACCACTTTACTTTCAGAGCTTCATGATAATTTTTTAATCATAAAATTATTATTTTGTTTTCATTATCATTCCTTTTTTGTTATTCCATTTCCTTCATAATGTCCATTTCAGCTTGAAATATTCTTGACTTTTTTGTATCAGTAATAACAATTTTTTTCATATTGAAAGATTTTAAATTATCTCTCAGAAATGATATTTACAATAACTCTATAAGAACGCTGTAAGTATTTTCTTAATAAAATTGATAGGCCATAAAGATCAGCATCTATTTTAATAAAAACTATTAGTTCATGATTTTTAATTTTGTTCATATCTTTTCCATTTTTAAAATATATTTATTTAATTCATAATTGTATCGATTATTCCCAGGTGTTTGTCGTTGAAGTGCAAACAGACAAGGGGCAAAATATAGTTCCGAATCCTGGTGATGTTGTGACTGCAGAGGTATGATTCCAATTTGTAATATGACAAATTAGTAATATTTAGCTGACATAAAAGCTAATAATTGTTTGTAACAACTAATTAATATGACTAATTGTGAATACAAGTACATTTAAGCTGGGCCTTCAAGCTGTGTTTAGAAAGATAAAATATGATATTAAAAAATAGATCAAGGTGAAGTAATCTAAGAAGAAAAAAGTAAATCTAAGTAAAAAGTAAATCTAAGAAGAAAAAAAATTGATAAAGATGTTTTATAATACTTTGTACAAAATGATTTTGAAAATGAATTTTAGCTCTTTTACTATTTATAATTAAAATATAAAGAGAAACTGTAACTTAAGGGTAAGTTAATTTTCTGTTTGTGAATTCAACTCTCTTTCATGGTTATGTATTATCATTACTTTTGTCTTCATCGTTACTGTAAGATGGTTCCTTTATTAATAAGCATTTAAAATTCAGTTGAACTTTTCAGATTTGAAGCAGAATATTTATCACTTAAATTTTAATACTTCACAGCCCAGATTTTTTTTTTTTAATAGCCTAAATCCATTTATGATATTATTTATAAGATTATGTTCTAAACTGTGTAAACATATACAGTATTGGTATATTTAATATTTATTCTAAATAATGGAGTTCTTATTTTTCTATTTTTACTTTCACTTACCTATATATATAATTTATAGTAAGGGAAAGTATCACAATAGTGAAAATTTTTGAATCTGAGTTTTCAATGGAAATACACATTTTGAGGTTCCTGAGTCTAAATAACCAAGTCCCGAAAAATGGTCTGTGTGTATGTGAACACTAGCTCAAAAAAAAAAAAAAGTCCTATGAAACTGATATTACACATTTAAGATAGGTATATGTCTTAAATGTCCCAGCAACTTTTTCCTTAAAATTGGCTAACCGGAAGTGCCACTTTATATCAACGGTTAAACATATTACAATATTAAACATATTACAATTTTCTCGAAATCGGCTTTAACGACTTTGATTAAACTCAGTGTATTATTGTATAATGAAGTGGTCTTTAATATCATTTAGTTCTTATTCCCGTTGATGTCACTTTACAGGGCTTAAATGCCCAATGTTCATATGTGTCTTTCTCTAAAGTACCTTTAATATGGTTTATTTTAAATAATTAACTATCTCTCATTATTAAGAGTTACGAAAAAATGCTAAATATAACTTTTGAAAGAATTTGATAATTGAATAAAGAAGAAAAAAATAAAAATGCTTATCTAGGTCGAAAATGAATCTCCGGAAATACTAGTAAGAAGGTTCATGTATAATATATTGTTGGAAAGTGCAGAATTTTAGAAAAAACAATATCTAACATGGAAAATTATAGAAGGTAATGTAGAGTGGCAAAAAAAGTTGAAATAATAATTTCTAAAAACTAACATTATTTAATGTAAATCATGTGTTTTCAAGGAAATTAAATGAAATTTTCCTATTAAATGTTAACTTTTTATAAATTTAAATTAGTGAATAATTTGATGAATTTTCCCTTTGCGATTTTCCAACAGTATCCACTTACAATTAATTTGACAACTTTTGACATATTTAGAACAGACATTGCAAGTCTCTTAATTCCGTTGTAGTAAACTTTGTAATGTAAAATAACAGTTTAATAACTAATAGTCGTACAATCCATAATCAACCGGTGATATAATAAATAGGCCTTTTGTTATTTTAATGGTGTTTATGATTTGTTAGCTGTAATCTTTTAGCTTTAGCTCAGTTAAAAATGCAATTAAAAGATTTTATTATAGCCCAACATAGCCAAAAAATAATTTTTATTCAAAGTTGAGCTGTAAGTGAAAGTTGTCTGTTTCGTGAACCAGATTCTTTTATTTTATTTTAAGTAGTTGATACAGTGTGTGCTCAATGAAGTGAAAACACTAATAAATGAAACTTCTCTTACTCTAACCCAGGGGTCTCCAAAATACAGCCTGCAAGCACCTTCAATCCAAGCAAAAGATTCTTTCATTACATGTTAAAATAAAAAAAAAAACTATTTAAAATATGAAATTTAGCAAATTACTCGCAAACGAGGTCACTAAAACATTTATTGCATATTTTTTTTTGTCTTGGAAAGCTCGTTTAGCAATTGAAGTGTCATTTATTGAACAAGATATTTTTTTTCCATCACAAGCCATGGTCCATGGGACCAAAATGGAGGTCTCAATGCATCCCTCATAATTTAGTCGAGGTCTCTATGTGGCTTGTTGGACCAAAAAGTTTGGAGACCCCCCTGCTCTAACTGGTCAACTTCTTAAAAATTACTTTTACTTTAATATATATATATATATATATATATATATATATATTTTTTTTTTAACTTAACAAATTATAATGCACTTTTATTTAATATAAAGAAGAATTCCATTACAAAGAAACTTGGTTTTTTCTTTGTCTACTGTAAATAACCAAATAAAGTTAAATGTTAATAATTTGTTTTGGCGGGAATAGGCGAATAGCCTTCCGCTTTTATATCGAGGAACTAGGTTATTTACACTCTTGATTATTAAAACAAAACCCCAGCACTGGATATAGACTTTTTGAGGGTGTTAAACTGTTGTTGGGTTGGGAATCTAATACCTTTTGTGACACTGAGTGACCAGAAACAATATATATATATATAATGTGGGACTTAGTAAATACACTTTAAATGAATTGACTCACCTGCTTTGTTATTCTTCAATTGTGAGGCATATAGGACAACTAAATAAAATGACTTTTCACTCCTGTATAATAAAACAATTTATTGTATAACTGTAATAAATGAATGTATAAAAGTCTTACAACTGTTGGCTTGATATTCTTATTCTTCAATGTAGTAAGCCTCTCTTCCCAGATGACATCTTTTCATCTTCGTGTCCAAGCCTCAAGTGCCTTTCTCGGCGTCCTTCTGCCAGTCGTTGCTTGCTACCTGCTCTGACCTTTTTCCAGCGTCCTTCTTCATTAATTGTTTATCGATATGAGACATTTCCATGAATAATTTGTCCACTGCATAATTGAGTACAAGTCATCGTGCAACCTCACATTTCTATATATTATATATTGTCCCTCACACAATGTCACATAAAGGAGTAAATACTGGGTGATGTCTACTACACTACTTAAGAGTGGTTTGAATCACACAATGGATTAGTGAGTTGAGACAATGGAGAATGCACTATAATTATTATTATTTAATTGCTTAATAATTATGGTGCATTCTCCATTGTCTCAACTCACTAATCCATTGTGTGATTCAAACCACTCTTAAGCAGACAAAGAAAAACCAAGTTTCTTTGTAATGGAATGAAATTTTTCTTTTTATTAAATAAAAGTGCTAAACTTACATTGTACTGAACCCATAACCCTTCATGGGTTTTTAGTGGTACTGGTTTATATATAAAGTTATAAAATTGTAAAAGTATACCTTTCATTCATTTATATGTGCAGGTTTCAGTTATTACCCAGCGGTATGCGAGATGTGCTATCAAATGTATACGTGACACACCATTAGAAAAACCTTTGAGGGCTTTGATAAATAGAGAAGAGGTTCAGGCAACTAACAAAGACCAAATAGAAATTCATAAAAGTTTTCGACCTGGAGATATAATATTAGCCAGAGTTGTATCCTTTTATAATCAGTTTTAAAAATTGATGACCTATATCCATCACAGAATGCACATCCTATTGACTATTGAACAATAGAATTAAATAAACAATTTTATTTTATAACAAATTAAGTATGGATGAAGAAAAATGAGTCAAATATGTTATAATAAAGAGTAGAGAAGGTGTGCATTCTGATGGCGATAGGTGCTTGAAACATTAAAGTATAATGAGTTGGCCCATGCGGAAAATTCGTACTGTATATTATTCATTGTTCAAGTGACAGATTAATATTAAAATAAAATAATGCAGCGTATCATAATAAGATACAGAAATCAATTGTTAGTTTCTCGCTAAATATAATCAACAAAGGAAACAAAAATTAATTTAAAACTTCATTAATGTTTGGAACCAACATGTTTACAAATTTTAATAAGCTGTATTTTTGCTTATAATTGTCCTATTTCGATGATTTTTTTTCCTTTTGTTGGGAATTTAGAAATTTCCTATATAATCATGGGAAAAGTGTGTAATTTTTGAGTTATTCACAAATAAAGTTTCTTTTCTTTAATAACTGAAGGAGAAAGAAACCTCCAAAATTGGAGGCTCAATCTTGGGATTTGATGAAGAATTAACAACGATGATATGGCTTATCGACAAAAAAAAAAACCTTTGATAAATAGTATTGACTCCTCTTTTTTAGATCATAGGGACCTCTAGTTGACGAAATGAGATATGTATTCCATTGCAGCACTACAATTAACGGGAGGTTATGAACTCTTTGCTTCGCATTATCTCGAAAATAGTAGGTTTTTGCGTTTTAAGCCGGAAGGAACTATCTAGATCTTGGTGTACGCATCAAAATCTTTAAAGCCCAATTTTTTCCGTATCGATCTACAGACTTACCACCGTTCCAGTATTGAAGCCTAGCAAAATGTTTATATCTACTTTATTTATTTTAGAAAAAAAAAGGAAAAATTGGAGACTATGATAGGGTCAATTCCCATGAAATTCTGAATCCAGCGGTACCCCATTCTTGTTAATTGAGGATGACAGGAGCTTATATTTGGTACTAAACTGATTTTGAGCCTTACTGTAATAATATATGTGGGGATTGTTAATAAACATTAACATGTAAGAAAGTCTTATATGTCACCAATTATCAATGAATAATACTGATCCTCTTCCAAAGAAACAAAGTATATGATGGATTTCATTATTGTGTAGGCATTCATTAAATAGTTTTAAAATTTTTTTTTGTTTTAATTTTTATCATCATCCTGATCTTACCTTAGATAAAATTTTGTTATTTAAAATATTTTATTTGGTTTATAGATACATATATTGTCTTTAGTGTTCTTCCTATCTTTTGTAGATTCAGTTTGCTAATCACTGTCAACCATAATTTTCAAATTAAAATTTAACAATTTATCGGTTCTCTCAATGGAAGGGGAGGAGGAGAGAGTGGATTGGGTGGCTCAAATAATCTTGAAAGATTCATGACCTGAAAATTTTTTCCCAAGAAACAGAAAAACATTTAATTTATGTAATTTGTGTTCTTGAATAATTTTCAGGTAAAAAAATATTTCCTTTAACATTATACATTAGTTACCCATAAAGGAGCTCCAATCCTATCAGCTTACTACTGCTGAAAACGAGCTGGGGGTAGCTATTGCTTATAGTGATGCAGGTTTGTCAATTTTATTTTAATTAAAAATTAAATACTTTTATTTAATTATTTTTATGAAGTAAATTCTATATTCTGTTTAAACAACAGTCTGAGACTTATATCAATCTAAATCGCTAACAAGTAATATGAGGGTGGTCTGAAAAGTTTCCGACTGCAACATGGAGATGGTAGCACTCATAAATAAAAGCAAGTGAATTTCGTTTTTCATCTGTTGACAGTTATCCACCAAAGTTTCAGCCATTTTATACACGCTGTTTTTATGTAACATTTGTTTGAGATAGTTGATGTCAGTGTTTTTGTGAAAATGGACAAAATCGAGCTTCGAGCTGTCATTAAATATTTGTTTTTGAAGGCAATACGCCTATGTAAATCAAAGGTGAGTTGGATTCTGTGGATGGGGACTCTGCACCATCATTTACCTTAGTGAAATTTTGGGCAGCTGAATTTAAACATGGCTGTAAGAGCTTGGGAGACGATGAACGTTCGGTACGTCCAAAAACTGCAACTACCAACGAAAACATCGCCAAAGTTCAATAAATGGTGCTAGACGACTGCCGAATTAAAGTGAGAAAGGTAGCAGAGGTTAGGAACGTATCAAAAAAACGTGTTTGTTACATATTAAATCAACAATTAGATATGAGAAAGCTGTCCTCACGTTGGGTGCAGTGTTGCCAAAAACGTATTCGAATGAACATTTCCAACATTCTGTTTAGGCGCAATAAATCCGAGTTTTAGCGCCGATTAATTACTGTAGATGAAACTTGGTTACACCGATATACATCCGAAACAAAAATACAGTCCAAATGGTGGACTGCAAAGGGAGAACCAGCTCCAAAAAAAGTTTTCTCGGCTGGGAAAGTGATGACGTCTGTTTTTTGGGATAGTCATGGAGTTATTTTAATCGACTATCTTCAAAAACCATTACAGTAGCATACTATGAATCATTACTTGACAAGCTAAAGGCAGAACTTGCGGAAAAACGGCCACATTTGCAGAAAAAGGAAATCCTGTTTCACCAAAACAACATACCGTCTCACACCTCAGTGGTTGTCATCGCGAAAATCCATGAATTACGGTTTGAACTGCTTGACCATCCGCCTTACTTACCACATCTAGGCCCAAGCGACTTCTTTTTGTTCCCTTATCTAAAAATTGAGCTCAGACAGAGATTTTCGTCAAATGAAGAGGCAATCACCTTCATGAACAATTATTTTGCAAAGAAAAACGCTGAGTACTTTTTGGACGGTTACAGAGATGGGGATTCGCTGGGAGAAATTTGTAGAGTTATAAGGAGACTATGTTGAAAAAAAAAAAAAAATCATTAAAAATGTCTCGTCTTTTTGTTAGATTGGAAACTTTTCAGACCACCGTCGTATAGATTGATATACATACTTGACGCACTAAGAGTAATATTTTATCGTAACTAGAAAAGTCTGACCATAAAATTGAAAAAATTATTTGTAAAAATATCATAATTGTGCTATTTCGAAACGGGAAAACAGAGTTGGAATTCGATGTTTTCATTGTTTAATTCAATCATAATGATTGTTTAATTAATTAGTTAGTTTAACCCAATCAAGTTCTATGATGCCCATATAGAAAAAATAAAAAGTAGAATAGATCAATTTGGCTTGTGAAATAATTTATTATTTTCACTACTGGTAGTTTAGAAAATTTTGTTTTATATAATATTAGGTTATCAAATTTTTAAAATGTTATAATCAGAAATAGATTTTGATGACTTGTTTTTTCTCTCCTCTATTTAGATGCTCAGATGGTCCCTATCAGCTGGACTGAAATGCAGTGTCCTGTCACGTATAATAAAGAATATAGGAAGGTAGCTAGAGTTTTACCTGAAAGTGACAAAGTAGATAAAGAGAAATGAAGAAAGGATGGAGATTAATGTCTTTACATTATGTGTAATTTTGTATATTTGTTAAATAAATAAATAATATAAACGAATCTATAACATTTATGCATGCAAATCCATACTATAAGAACGATATACAGGTGAGATAAAGATAGGTGTATGCAGGATTTATAATTAGTTCTAGTATAATGCAATATGAGCTGTTTATATTTTTGGGATTTAACATTTCTACTGTAGAATCTCGATACTGAGTACTTGATTTACTGAGGATTTCTTTCTTTCTCTTTCTTAAATTTATTTCTTTATTTTTTATCAATGTATTTTATTTACTTTTAAATGATATATTTGAATATTATAATAAAATTTCAATGCATCAAATATGACTAAAATTGGCACGAGATAAAATTCTTGGCCCTGGTTGATGATGAGCCATGACCAATTTTTTCCAAACAGTTTTAAATATAGGGCAGTCTTGTATAATATGTTTTACTGTCCTTTATATTATTTTATTTGACATTTATACTATACTCGTATATGTAAATAGTTACAATTATATTATGGAGGATAAGAGGAAAAAATATATATATTCATATATATATTTTATATATGATTATATTATATTATATATTATATTATTATATTTTAGGGGAAAAACAGTTTTTTTTTTTCTTCAGTCTTGAATACGCTTAAGAGTTTTTCTCTGCTGGAAAACTAGTTCGGATTTTAATATGGATGGAGCCAATAGTGATTACAAAAATCTATAATAAATGTTAAAGTATTTTTTTTTTTGTTTTTTTTTCTGTAGGCATTACAGACTATGTAGATCTTTTGTCACCTTGACAAGCCTGCTCCATCTTTGCCTGTCTTGGGCTATTTCTTTCCATTTATCTGCATGCAGCTCTGTTGCATCTTTGTCGATTCTGTCTATCCATCTGCTTTTTGGCCTTCCACGTCTTCTGCCTTCTATTGAGGCATTCATTGTTATGTAGAGGCTTCCAGATGGATTGCTATGCCATCCTAACCTCCGTGCCTTCAGATTATGTGATATTGATTGACCAGTTTCTATAAGCATTTCTTTATTAGTCTTTCTTCTCCATTCGATCCGGTTATCGTGCAGAAGATTTTCTTCTCAAATCTTTAAACACTTTTTTCTAGGGTGCTGGTTAGTGTCCAGGTCTCACAGCCTGGCTTAAAGCTGGCTTTATCATATCATTGTACACCCTTAGTTTGAGATTTTTCAGGATTTCAATACCTTTCAGAGGGAGAGGAAAGCTATGTTTGCGCTAGCTATACACTGGTCTATTTCTGCCTGTTGGTCATTCATTGATGTTATTGTGGAGTCGAGGTATTTGAATTTTTCTACTCTCGGGAATGATTTTCCTTCTACACAGATCCTGTTATTGGGGCGGAATTTTCGGCTTATTATCATATATTTTGTTTGTAAACAAAAACTAAAGTCTTCATTTACTTGTAGGCCGAACTGCTCTGCCTCTCTTGTCAGTGTTGTAGCGAGTTTCTCATTGTCTTCTTGATTACTCCAAGTCCAAGGACAGCTATATCATCTGCATATCCAAGGATTTTATGATTCATTCTGACGTGGACCCCCTCCATTTTTATGTGATGTTGCTCTTAATACCTTCTCCAGGGCTAAGTTGAATGACATTGATGATAATCCATTGTTTTCTTTACTAGAATGAGATTTGTTACCCTGAAGTACTGTAAGTTTTCTTTAAAACACACCATCTTTGTAAAACCTTTATTTTTAAGACAACTAAAGGAGCTATTAGTGTTGGTGTGTTTTTTAGCGATTATTCTTTTTGATCTTTCACATAAATAAACCAGATGCATTTGTTCATGTATTCATGGGGAGCAAGAAAGAGACACGCATTGTACGTTTTATTTGTTTTCAAAAGTATGAAAAAAAGTGTAAAATCATTGACATATGGTGACTTAATTTATTAGTGCCTGTCTTCTGGTTAGTCAATTTTATGAAAAAAGCTCTAGTCTAAATTTAAGATGGGTGAAACAGTGGGACACAGCCAGTTGTAAAATAATTGCACACTTATTAAAAAGTTAGAGTAGTTAACTTACTTCCATGAGTATGAAACTTGATACTTTATTTAAAGTATTTGTCATTTGTGCTTACTGCTCCATTCTTCTGGGTTTTGCTGGTTTCTACTAAGTTTGTAAATGATCTATCTAACATGAAAAGAATTTTTCAAATCGTTCTAGAGTTTGTTCAAAACAATAAATAAATTTTTACATAATGGTATAGATCAGGGGTTTCCAAAATACGGTCCAAGTATGTTTCTTTGATTACATGGTAAAATTTTTAAAACCATTAAAATATATGAAATTTAGCAAAATATCAAGACAAGAGGTCACTACAACATCTATTGCATGTTTTTTTTTCTCCAAGAAAGCTCATTTTACAAATGAAGTGTCATTTATAGAATAAGATTTTTTTTGTCATCAATTCCGACCAAGCCATGGCCTGCGGGACTAAGTGGAGGTCTCAATGTGGTCTGTGGACCAAAAAGTTTAGAGATCCCTAGTCAAGAATAGTAAATATTAAAAAAATATATATATATATTTTTTATCTGTGTGGATTCTAAGTCATTCCTGAAAGTAGACAGATTCAAATACCTCAGCTCCACAATAACCTCAATAAATGATCAACTAACAGATATAGACCAGCGAATAACAAGTGCGAACAGATCTTTCTTCTCTCTTTCAAGGGTACTGAAATTCAGAAATCTCAAAATAAGGGTGTACAACGCTGTGATTAAGCCAGTTGTGCTGAACAGTTGTGAAACCTGGGCTCTAACCGGCACATTAGAAGCCAGAATTGAGAGATTCAAAAGAACAGTTCTACGTAGGATAACAGGTTCTATATGGGACCAGAACCTTAACACATGGAGGAGATGGAATAATAAAGAACTGTTGAAAGAAACGGGTCAGTCAATATCTCATGACATGAAGGCAAGGAAGTTAAGAGGGCAGGGCATGTAGTTTGTAGTAATCCATCAGGATGCCTCCAGAAGACAATGAATGCCAGAGTAGTAGGCAAGAGACCACGTGGGAGGCCAAAAACCAGATTGATAGATAGGATAAACAAAGATACGGCTGAGCTTCATACCGCAAACTGGAAAGCAGTAGCCCAAGATAGGCAGAGGAGGAGAAGGCTGGTTCAGGGGACCAAAGATCTACAAGGTCTGTAGAGCCAACCGAAAAAAAAAATTATATATATATATATTGTAATGTAAATATTACATAGTGATTTTGAATAGTGGCGCGAAGGTAGTGACGTCACAAACTACTGTCAAAAATGGACAAAGAATGACAGATGGTGGGGGAAGAAGAGGCAGAAGGTAGCCAGCCGGCTAGTAAAGAGGACTGAGCAAAGAAAATACAGAGGAAGATTCACGGCAGGACAGGGGGAGTGAAATATAAAAATAGACAGTTCGAAAGCGCGCCAAGATTAGACCCCGACAAATGAATGGAAATTCATAAATGTTATGTACAGTTAATGTATGCTTTTATATTGTATAATTGAGGATGTGTGTTTGTTGTTCCAACCAAACCTGAGAATTAATTATTGATTAAAATAAATATTATTTGATTCAGAAACTGTTAGTTTACTTTTCAAAGGGAACTTAACCTTACAATATATATATGTATATATTATCCATGTTTTTTGATTATCTGTGCACATTCCTTCCTACCTAATTGTCCTAGATAATGGAGGCTCCACTGTATGTGAGTACTTAAAATAATAATGGTTGCCTGTTTGCACATTATTAAATATCAAGAATTATTTTAGACTGCTATGATTTTTGAACATTTATAGCTTTACTAAGAGCTTTCTGTGGTCACTGCTGTCATTTATTGGAGTGGAAGAATTAAACTAGATCTACTGCCCTAGGTCAGGTAGAATTAGAGTACTCTGATTTTTTTTGGGGTAAGGAAATATTTGTTCAATGAAATGAACTGTCAATAACATTTGATTATGAGTCAACAAATGATCAATTTCATTATACTCTATAAAACCTTCAGAATAAGTTATGAAATTTTCAGAGCAAATTTATATTTTCAAAGATCTGTTACCTATAATACACCAATTATTAACCCAAGACTGAGATTGCCACTTTCAGTTTGGAACTCCTTGGATACCATGTTGCATGTCCTGACCACATTCCTATTGTTCTTATAAAGGCTTCTAATGGCCTCCTTCAATCCCTTCTCATGTAATGCTTTACCTATATCATGATTCCTGATTCTGTCGAAGGCGTTACCTGTTAGGTCGACGGAACTGGTAAAAATCTATTTATCTTTTTCAATTGCCTTTCCTGATATTTGCCTTAGGGTGAATATCAGATCTTGTGTACTTCTGTTAGGTTTGAAGTCATACTGCTCCTCCATTAACAGGGACTTGACAGTTCTTATCAGCCTCTTTTCTAGGATCCTGGTATATATTTTTGAGGGAATGCTTTGGAGAAAAATTTCTCTATTATGGTTTTGGCACTCCTTTTTCATATACTGACTTCCCAATCTTTGGGGACTGTTTTTTTTTCCTTCTACACTAAATATATAAGATGCTGGAAGATTTCCATGCCTTTGAGACCCATAGACTGCTTTCAGTGTTGCCAGTACCCCTACAACTTTGTCCTCATCAATGCAGTCGTCTTCTTCCTTTTCCCGGCTTTCTATATAAGGACCTTGTTCTTCAGCTGACTCAGATTCAAGAAGCTTCTTGAAGTATTCTGCCTAGTGTTCCATTACTTCTTTTTGATTGGTGAGAATATTGCCATTCTTGTCCTTGATGTGCTTTAACATGGGTTATGTTTTTCCACACGTGTTTCTGAGTGTTGTATAGAAAAATTGTATAATGATGTAGAGATGGTTGACCGTGATATAATATGAGGAGTTGGTGGAGGGGGGGGGATGCGGTCAAATAAATACTAAATTTTAAAAATAGTATTTTTAATTATTATGCCGACATTTTGACGTTTAACCCATCTTGCAGGTATTGTGTTATTTTATCAGGTCTTATTACTATTATTATGTTATCTTATTTTTATTTTAGCTTTACTAGGTCATTACATATTCAATTTTTCTATTCGTCAACACTCATTTTCTTTATTTGTTAACCTACAGTCATCAAATGTAATCTTTACCAGTTTGTTATACACTCATTTCTTATCTTTTATCACAATATGTTTACTTTTAACTTACACGCTATATTCTCTTTTGTTTTCTATTTTTATTCATACTTATTTTCTATTTTTATTTGTATCTTCTATATATATAATACTTGATATTTTAACTACATTATCATCCACTATATCTCTGATGTCATCTTATTATTTCTTTATCAGAGAACTGTTTCTTATTTAATATCTACTTATAATTCATTTATTTTATTTTCACCATGCACCTTTTATATTTTGTAGCCCTAATAATTCAAAATACTATTTTTTAAAATTTAGTATTTATTTGATCGCACCCCCTGACCAACTCCTTCTCAGAAAAATTTTATATTTTCTTACTGGTTCTTTCTCTTCCGTTTTCTTTCCATACTTCTCTCATGCCTTTGGTTTTGCCTGAATTGCTGCTTCCTTAGCCTTATTTCTACATTCCTTATAAGCAGTTTAGTTTTCATCTGTTTTGCATCTTAGATACTGCTTCCAGGCAATCTTCTTCTTTTTTTATTTCTTCCTTTACATTATCTTTCCACCATGTCATTTTTTTTTTTGTTCTTTGGCCCACTCTAGATGTTCCACAAATCTTTTTGGCCGATTCCAGAAGTATTTGCTTCATCTCGCTCAATGAAGCTTTGATGCAGTCAAAAAAGCCCCATTGATGAGTGAAATAGATCTATATTTCATTTTTTTTTTTTCATTTAATATATATTGATGGCCTACTTCTAAATTCTCAAAGGATACAAAGTCCTTTTCTATAGGGATACAAGTTTTAATGTAAAGAAAATATTTTATATAAGGTCCTAGGCATGTCAAGTCTCAACCCAAGTCTTAGACCAAGAGGAATATTCTAGAAAAGCTGCCTGTTTTAATAAGGAGTGCAAGTGATGGTTGATAAGAATTTCGCTCATAGACTCATGTTACTAAGAAGAATAGAATGAAAAAAATATGGTATCAAAAAATTAGAATGAAATACAAACTATGCGAATTAGAAGTTTAAACACCTAAAGAACATTAATGAAACTAGGAAGATTTATCAGCAGGTTACATAAATGCTAACAGCTCAATGCTTAAAGATGAGAAGGTAATGCAGTGATGGAATTATTTATTTCAGTACTCTCTTAAATGTAAGCGGGAAATCATTGTTTACAAGTATGAGTACAAGGAGCAAAACCATCTTAATAATAATAAGTTACCAGGAAAAGATTGTTAAAATATGGAAGAGAGAAATTCAAAAGATTTTTGTGTGATCTAATGGACATTTGGTAAAGTGAACAAATGCCACATGATTGGTACATGACAGACCCATACATAAGAAAGGTGACTTATTAGGGTGCAAGAGCTACCAAGAAATATTTCTACTCTCTAAAAGCTCCTAAATATTCTCAAGGTTGCTATATTAGAGGCTCAGTCCAATCACAGAACAAGAAAATGTATTTTAATAGACAGGATTCATGAGAAATTGTACAAAATCAAATCTTTACAATAAAAATTATCCTAGGTAAAGCAAGAAAGTACAATATTAACAGGGACCGAGAAGGCATGAAAGAGGACAAAACCATATACAAATATATGAGACCAGGTATGTTAGGTTTGCATAATCAGGTCGCAAAAATAAAAATAATAATCTGGTGTGTCCACTCACACGACTTTCCTACCTGTTTCAGAAAAGTTTTTATATCTTTACATATGTTCATGAAGAAACAAAAAAGAATTGAACTAGATACATTTTCCTGAAAATTGATCAAACATAAGATTTTAGTACGATTTATTTAATAAACTAAAGCAATGTAAACCGGTTTAAAGTAGGTAATTTCTGTTAAAAGTAGAGGAAATAGTGAAGATTGTGTGATGCGGGCAACAGATTTTCTTACTTTCACTTAGTCATCTTTATTCTCTCATTAACCATTTTCTGGCACCAGGATATGAAACCTAACATTGGAAATTGAATAGCCGTAACTTCGTTAATAGTTGTCCAAAATGAAAGATTTTTATATGGCTTTGTATGGAATTTCATTACCTTTCAAACGAAAGGCTAAAAATGTGTTTTTCGGACTCAGGGGGCTCTGAAACGTATAGATCCGTCGAAAACTACATGTCAGAAATTTGACCCGATTGCAGTACTTTCCTTACCTAGTATAGGTAGGAAAGTAATAAGTTAAACAAATGTGTAAAAATTAGAATAAGCTGTATCATCGCTAATACTGGTTCGATTTCGATGATTTTTTTTTTTTTGTTTTGTTAAAAATTTAATTATCTTTCAAAAGTTTTATTATAAATTTTACAGTAAATTATATACTTAAGGAGTCAGGCCCCATAAAATTTTTCTTTTCTTTATAACTTTTTTTCCTGATTTTTTGCGAGAATTCAGTCTATATACGAAAATTGAAAGAACAATGATTAGAACATTATAGAAAAGTTTCATCAAAATCGTTAGATCTGTTTTGCGCTATAGTCTATAGAAAAACATGTTTTTCATTTATTGCGCACCGAATTTCTGTCACAGGCATCAGTAGTCAAAACCCTACAAAATAAAAAAAGAAGCAACAAAATCGGTTCAGTAGTTCCCAAGAAAATCTTGGCACAGACAGACCAATGTCTAAAAATGTGTTTTTCGGACTCAGGGGGCTCTGAAATGTATAGATCCGTCGAAAACCGCATGTCGGAAATTTGACCCGATTGCAATACTTTCCTTACCTAGTATAGGTAGGAAAGTAAAAAAACAAACTTGAAATTAATTATAATTTAATGCTCTTGACATAAAAAATGTTATACAATACATTTAAATATATTTTTTTTTTAAGTTCAGATATTTTCAAACATCTCCCGATGTTTTTCTAAAATCTTCTCAACTGAATGACTTCGCTTATTTAAATAAGATCCTACTCTTACTAAATCGGGTATTGAATATGTATCACCCACAATTTGAAGCATAAAATCTAACTTTGCACTAATTTCCATCAATTTATCTATAACAGAAATAGATTCTTTTTTTCCTGTTGATTTTAAAACAAACATTTCATCTCCACTCGTTAAATCATTTACTTGTTTAAAACTTTCGATATCTTCGATAGTGTGGTCTTCTTCTGTCACACTACCTGAAGGTATGATACTTTTCAAAAGATCTGAAATTATGAATTTCATCTTAAGAAGATATTTGGCATTTTCATCAAGATCGCCATCTGATAGGATTCTGTGAGCCATTGAAAAAAATGATTCCTCTTCTTCTTCCACTGTCACGATTGGTTCAACAATAGCAATATTTGATTTTGTCTTCGATAAATATTCTACTGAAGTAGATGAATCTTCAGTGGATTCTTTAATTTCCTATAAAAGTGAAATAAGGTTAATTTTGATGTAGCAGTAAAGTTAAAAGTTGACACTATGTTTTTCTGTATTGCACATTGACATCAGTTAATTTTAAGATTTGTATGACACTAGTTGATACTTTGATTTGACAATGTTATAACTAATATTTTTTTGCTAAAATTAGATTGTTGCTGCTTCTGACTCTCCTTAAAGATAAATGTAATTTTCATCAGTAGAAAAAAAGGTCTTTTTAGTCTCAATAATTAAAATAATTTATTTAAATTTATCCAAATTTTCGCTTAGTCCAAATTAATGTTGGATGGAGCGCCTTTCTTTCCCAGAAGGATTGATCTCATTCTATTATGTACTATGACTAGGTGTGCGAGATTTTTTTTTATATACATATTGTAAATTTGTTAATATTCATTTTTAATTTTATTATGAGTTTTATGAATGGGCTAATGTCTTCTAGTAAGTCCTCTGAAAGAATTTTTGTATATATTGTTTTTAGATGAAAATTCACAATACATTATAAAATCAGACTACCTCAAAAGCTAAATTACTGCCATGCAAAAAAAAAAAATTCTGAGGAATTCGCTAGGTACCTCTCCACTACATTCACTCTCTCTCTCTCCAGAATCCCATCACACCCACACTGCAAAAGTAGAAGAATTCCTCTCTTCACCAATCTTACTCTCCTTACCACCTAAAGCAGTTAATCTATCTGAGGTGAAATATCTTTTACGAAAAATCACTCCTAGTAAATCTCCTGGATACGACCTGCTAATCCCACAGATCCTTCAAAACTTCTACCTAGAGCTATCATATTCCTGACATATAGTTATAACTGCTTATTAAGAACTACCCACTCCGTTCTCTTATGGAAACATTCCACCATCGTCCTTTTCCTGAAACCAGGCAAACCTTTCAATAGCAGAGTGTCCTACAGACCAATTAGCCTAGTCCATTCATTTTCTCAATTATTTTGAAAAGATCTTACTGACACGAATCCTACCCATAATGAAATCCCAACACTTTCTTACCCACCAATGAGTAGAATTCATTTCTGAACATTGCGCAATCTTTTGATCAGATATGACATGCCAGGTTACTCTCAAGCTTAAAATCCATTTAACACAGTCCTTATTATATTTAATATTCTGATCCTACCTCTCTGAACACGCCTTTGAGTTTGCTGTGGTACAGAAATCTTTAACTGTTATTCTATTGAGGCTAGTATTACACATGAGTCCTTGGGTCTCCATCCTTTACATTCTCTTTTCCTCTGATATTCCTATTCATCCCAATATCCTTCTGGTAACATTCTCTAATGAAACTCAGGGGTGCCCTTCCCCCCTAAAGATCATTGGTGCAAGAATATCCTCCCCCCTTCCATGATATTTTAATGTTTTCTTCTTCTTAAAAACAGTGCAAGCAAAAGTATAATTAGAAAAATCGTAGATCATCTACAATTATACTTGCTGCAGTTTTTTTTTTTGTTTTTTTTCCTTTTGTCCCCTGGTTTGAAACTTTTCATTTCAAAAATAAATATCTCCGTCGAAATGTTCCCCTCTCATAAATACAAAACTGTAAAAATGTGCTTCCCTCAAAAATTTGACAGCGCAACTTGCACCATGAAACCCCCTTCTGGGCACTGCTGATCAAACTACCATTCTATCATCTAGTTCAAATCCTGAAACAGTATCCTTATAGGCACCTCATCCTTATTAAACACTGGATTTAATAATTGGCGCATCCAAGTAAATAAATCCGAATTCAAACATATCACCTTCACCCTTTGTTGCATAAGCCATGCAACATAAGCATGTTCGCCAGTTTATTTCAACTCTGTCCAGCCTCCTTTATCGGACACAGTCCAGTATCTTGGCTTCCTCTTAGATAGAAGACTAACATATAACTCACATACTAGACTTAAAAGACTAGAGCTCAACCAACGAACAGCAACAATACAGACTACGGAATAGAAAATTTAAACTTTCTATTGAAAACAAATTACTGATTTAAAAAACAATCCTTATTGAACATATCTGGGCCTACAATTTAGAACTTTGGAGGACACCTAAATTTTCTATCACCAAACACATTCAATCTTTCCAATTTAAAGCCCTTCGAACAATAATAGATGCTCCCTTTTATGAAACCAACCAAACACTGTATAAAATGACCCATTTATTCTTGAATTTTTCAAAATTCACCAGAACCTTGTTCATCATCCAAATTCTGCAGCATAATTCACATCTAGCATCACCCATCCCTACAATCCTCCTCAAAACGGCTGTGACCTCACGACCTTTTGTAAATATGCATAAATGGAGTTCCAGCAATAGTCAGATTCTCCACTCGAGTCATATGAGCCTCTGGCTATAGCACCCTCACTCAACCTCCACTGGCTTTAATAACGATGACACGGTCGAGGGAGAAGAGTTGGGAGCCTTGCTTTTCCCTCCACAAGTTAGGGGACAAGATTGCTTAGGAATTCCCTTTGCAGACAGTGATATTAAAGAAATAAAATCAGAATTGAAAATACTTGAACACCCATCTAGTGATACTATTGTAAAGGATTAATGACAAAACAAATTTTACATTTTGTGTGCTTCTGGGATAATGTAAATGATAGCAGGCAAAGAATCTTACATTGTGTTGTAATTGCTGTTTGAATTTTTCCAGTTCATCTAATGCTGCCATGAACTTGATTTTTTCATTGCATGTGGGTTGAGTGATATTTACAAACTCCCTTAGCTTTCTAATAAATTCCGATATAACAGTGCCATGGTTTCTTATTGAGTCAAGTAATTGATCATTCTCGTTTTGTAAGTTTACATAAATTTCTATTTTCTTTTTTAATGGTAATAATGCCTCTTCTACTTTATGTTTGCTTTTTATTTGAACCTCTTTCACTTTATCACAAAACGCTTTATTCATTGAAGGAATGTGCTCTGCAGCTTGCAATATTTTAGTTGTTTCTAATTGTTTTTTCAAATACTGTTTCTGAAGGTCCACTTGCTTCTCTATATCTCTTGTTTTAGTGGTCCAATATTGAACATAAGAACTGAAAAATTAAAGTTATTTACAATAATTTAATTTAAGCAAATCATAATTATTTTGTATGTACCTTATTCATTCAATAGAAGAGATTTCATTGCTAACATAATCATATATAGTTTCATATATTAGAGTTTAAGTTTTTAAAAACTTCATTTCCATGTCCAGATGAGTATTTACAATCATGATTTTTAAAAGTTAAAACAATTAATAAACTGTTTTTTTAAAAATGTATATGGAATAATTATTTTAAAAAACACATAATTATCAAACAAAAATATTACCAGAAGAAATAATGAATTTTTTCTACTCAGCTCTTTTTGTTTGAAAATTTGTATGTTACCTCATTTCAAGCTGGAACAATTCTTTCTGTTTAGACAATTCATATGGTAAAAATATATGTTTATAACTGTATTCCAATTCCCTTTCTTTGTGTACAGCTGTTGTCATAATTTCTTCTTCTAAAGTCTCTCGCCTCAAGTTCAGAGCATCTTCAATTTCATTGTTAAGGGTTGTTTCAATATAACGGTCCAAGTCTTTTATCATTATCTAAATGAAAAATTGAATTATTCAACATGTTATTTTAATTATTTTACTTGAGCTTTTTTTGATAAATAAATAAATTAGTGGTTAAATTAAATTTTCCTTAAATAAAGTCGAAGTATTATATGATGGAAAGAATGCTATGGCAGCAATATTATTCATTGAATAGAAGCCTTCTATATTTGAATATTGCTGAAGAATTATAATACTTATAAAACTTTAACCTCCACAAGTACTCAAAAGCCTAGGACAATACATCACTCACTTTAAGAATTCTATATCATTTCTACTTAATCTTTTTTAACTTGTTCTATTTCTGGTGCATTTATGTCATTTTATGTTTATGAGTCCTGATATTGCTCAATTTCTTATTTACAGCTGGTTGAGAGCAAACATAAGTAATACTTCAAATAAATTATTAAAAAATATATAGGACAGATATTATATATATGCTTAATATTTATTTCTTTTTACCTGACTAAGCGAGTATTATGTGTTTGGGTTAAAAGCTATGTTATGATTTTTCGAGCGATCGGCTGGATCAATTTTTAGGTTCGACAGCTCAAATTATTCAGTGCGAACCCTTAAGTGTTTTGAAACAATTTGAGCTAAAAACACTGACCTGTGATTGAATAAAATGTGTTCAATCAATTTGCTAAAAGATATGTAACGGTTTTATTGGAAAACGGGGCGATTGATTTTTAAGTTTGATATATTATAATATTTGGCGAGATCCTGTGAATATTTTGAAACTATGAACTAAAAAAACTGACCCATTATGAAATAAAATGTGTTTGATCAATTTTTTAAAAAGTATGGAAGAGTTTTTGAGCGAACGGCTGAAGTGATTTTTAAGTTTGATATCTTAAATTATTCAGTGAGATCCCATGAGTGTTTTGAAACAATTTGAGCTAAACATTGTGACAAATTACTGTGTAAAGTATATTTAATCTATCCGCTAAAAGTTATGTAGTGATCTATAGAACGGATGGTTTGACCAATTTTTAACTTTAATGGCTGTAATTATTCAAGAAGAATCCATGAATGTTTTGAATCAATTTGAGCTCAAATTGAACAATACTGAAAAAAAATTTTATTATAATTTAAGTATCTTGATTATTAATGGATTTGAAATGATATCATGTGCTATGAAAATAAATTGTTAATACTTTAAAAACTAAAAATGTTAAAATAACTTAATTAAATGAAAGATATTTTGACTAAAACAAAGAAACTGACAATGCAAATAACTTGATCCGTCTGAAGGAACGGAAAGTTAGGCATACCTTTGGCAATCTTTCAGGTATCATTCTTTTCACATGTCCAAACCAGTATAATCTTTTCTTTTCAATATTTCCTATAATGTTCCTTTCCACCTCCATCATTTCCAGAATTCTTTTATTTTTTATTTTTTCCCTTCTTAATCTTCTTGCTGCCCTTCTCCAAAAGTCCATCTCTACTGTTAACAGTCTTTTTCATTTTCTTGCATTGATCAATGATGTCTCTGAGGTATATGTCGTTATTGGATCAAATATAGCCTTGAATATTATCAGCCTCATTGTACTGGACTGTATATTCAAGCTCCAAATAATACCGTTGAGTATTGCTGTGGCCTTTCTACCTTCACCAATACTCCTCTCAATATCACTGGTTTCCCTCAGCAATTTGGCCCTTAGTGACTCAAAGGCGAAGCAGTTCATGATAATGTGTTAAGCAATCTCCAGTATTCCACAGCTAGGGCATAGGGGTTGATGTCTTTTGGCATAGTATTGGTATCTTTCCAAAGGCCACAGGGCTTGACTCAAAAGATCCCGTAGTCTATGAGGAATTGCGAGATATAGTAATCCAGGAGGACTGGGCTCATATGACTAACAAACATGATTGGAAGGTGGGGAAGTCTTTTCTGAAAGTGATCACGTTTGGACCTTTCATCCACTGTTGATTCCAATCTTCAATTTATCCTTCCAGAAAATGGTTTTCCATTGGCTCGAGTCTTCAGCAATCCTCACTTTGAGATTTCTCGGTAGATCTGCTGAGTCCTCTTTCTTTTATTTATACTTTATTATATCTTCTCGTTGGAGGAATTCGAAATCAAGTAGAAAAGATCTACACACTCTGATGTGCTCTGGTAAATCACAGTTTTTAGTTTGCTGGATTGTTGCCAACGTGCTCTCCTATTGGTGTGAGAGATTCCTATTCCAGATGTTGGACGCATACCTCAGAATATCTACAGCCATTTCTATATAAACAGTCATTGTTGCTGGTTATCTGAGTGCCACTTCATATATTTCTGTTTTTAATATTTGTTAATTTTTTTTTCTGTTGGCATTGTAGATCTTTTGCCAGTTTAACCCTTTAACAACAGTGGACTTGTATATGAGTCGAGATGAAATCGGACTCAGACAATGATGGACTCAAGTCGAGAGCCTGTTGGGCTCTTTCTCATTAAACAACAGGTTGCTCACTGATTAAATTTACTTTCAAACTGTCTCACGGCCTTCCCATGAGGTAGTAAGACTTTATTTCCTTCATTGAAACAAGTAACATTGAAACAGAGGAAAACATCACAGTAGTCAGTTGCTCTTTAGAATTAGACTGGGATAGTTGCAGAGATACGTATACTGCTTGGTTTAACAAATAAACTATTTCTTGTATTATATTTATTTATATATGGATCTAACTCGGACGAATCCACCGCGTCTTCTTTTGTCATCTATAATTAGACTCACAAAATAAAACTACATAATCTGTGCAGTATATATACAGCCGAACTTCAAGCAATAGCCTCAACTCTCCACTTTTCTATGACAATAACATCCTAATACATTACAATAATAACTGACTTTGTAAGTTCTCTAAAAGGGATAAGTAATTTATCCAACCATCTTGAACCATCCAACCATTTATCATGAAACATCCAACCATCTTAAAAATTCATAAATATCTAAATATACTAGAAGCTCTACCAAGCAACTTGGGAATCGTTGTAAATGAGCTCACGGATGTAGCAGTAAAATAAGCTCTTACTCTTCCAGGCTGAAGTGCTGTCAAAATATGTCTTCCCCTCAAAAAATAAATAATTCATAGATGGCAATCTATGTGGAATGAGAGTCCACCAAGCAAATCAAAATATATTAAAAAACCAGTAAAGACGTGGTCAATATCAAATTGCCTTATCCAATAACAGTGACGCGGTTGGGAGAGAAGCACTGTGATCTCCTGGATTTCTGCTTTGGCTTCCACATTTGGGGGACAAAGCTTGATTCAGAGTCGCCTGGGCCAATGTAAATATTGTACATAGGTGTGAATTTTTTTTCTTCTACTTTGTTTTTTTTATATTTATTTTCCTTATGTACATATTGTGTGAATGAATACTATAGCTCTACTACCAATGCCCTTCAGTGTGGCAGACTGTATTAATACTCAATAAAATCATAGAAAAAATGTGTTTTTATAATACAATTTTCTTTTATTCCATTATTATTTTGTATAACTTAGTTTTTTTTCTTAAATAAATTATTTGTATGTGTTAATATGTTTACCTTTGCATGAAATATGAAATAGTATGGAAAAGTGTAGTAATCGTGATAAATTTTAAATCCGATTTTTTAACGGAAATACATGTTTCTACGAGCCTATAGTAAAAATTTTTACGTCTTGCAAAAAGTTCTGTTTCTAGTTTTTGTGTATGTGGGTGAGGATGTGTAAGTGTGTGTGTGTGGTGCTGTAGTGGCCTGTGCTCATTTGTCCTGGATTCTTTCCTTCAAATTTTGAAGTGAAAGAATTAATTTTCTTTTTATCTTTTAAAAATTGTATGTCAATTATTATTTTTCAGTCAATTGATTGGTTTCCACTTTGTCAGTAATTCCTTTGTGATTTACAATGAAATTAATCATGGATTGAACTAAAATATTTTATATTTATCTTGAAGTGAATCATAAAATAAAATTTATAACATTAAAATTTTTCATGTGAAATTAAATTTAATATAATTTTTCATGTTCATTATTTTTAGTAAACATAAAATGAAACATTAACATTATTATAAAATTATATAATCCTATAAAAAAACAATACATTTTGTGCTACACAACTTTGTGTGTGTTTATATTTTTAATTTTAAGAATTAAAGTTTAAAATATTGCTGTAATATGTATTTTATTTTGTATTTTAAATAAAATAGATAACCAAATTGTATAGATTCCTTTTAAGTTATGGTCCTATATTATAAAAAATAAATATTGAAAGTGATTTGTATTTGAAATAATATTTCTGCAAACTATTTAAATGTTTGGTAAATAGAATAAGTTTTGTCCAGGTCTGCTTGAGAGAAGTGACTCTGTTTTGGAATCTTCCAATAATTAGATTATAACAGTTTCTGTATCTTTTACTTTCGTTAATTAAAATTAATTGAATAATTAAATCTTAATAGCGAATTTAAAATTTACATAAAATAAATACCTTTTTTTCTGAAATATTCAACATCTAATATGTATATTATATTACCATTAAGATCTTACAATAGATGCAGAGTTAACGAGCATTTGAAACTCTTTCATCGCAAATTCATATCTTTTTCCTTCAACTTCTATAATTTCTCGTACGCCATTGTATAAACTAGTTTTTAAATATGCTCCAATCCTTTGTAGATATTTGGTTTTGGCTTCATCTGCTTTTAACTTTCTAACATATCGTTGTTTCTCATCTTCAAGCATTGGCTTTGCTATATATAATATTTCTTTAGTTAACTCATAATAGAGGGATTAATTTTGTGATATAAAACTAACTACTGAGTTCATTAATTTAAGACCTGGGAAAGAAGATGTGATAGCTAAATATGTTGCAGGGTGGGTACCATAGTGCCCCGTTGGACAACTTTTGGATTCGATTTTCATCTTGGTCAGTTAATATCTATTTTTGGGTGGCTTCACCTAATGAATCATAACAATCCCACTCTGGTTAGAAAGTGGCAACAACCTCTTGGTAACTATCAGGAAGAAGTAATGACAAATGTTTTGTGTCATTATAATGTTCTTAAGGAACTACTAATGATTTCTTAGATGTCTATTGGCTTCCCTTTATATGGGGAGAGGTTATCAACACTTTAATCTTATATCTTATATCTAATTATTCTTAGTTCAAATAAAGTACATATATTCTTAATATTCTTTTCTTTTATTTTGGGGTATAATATTTCAGTTTCTATTTTTTTTTTATTTAAGCCAATATTACACCTATGTTTTCACTTCAAAATCCTACTACAGCGTTTTGGCTCATCGAGCCATTTTCAATTCTATCATACAGTTGTCCATTATACTTCTTATGTAAAATACATGCGTCTTCTCATAATAGCCAGTATCATGTTCACCATATCTATTTTTAACATATTATGTGTCAACCCACATGTTGTCAGTTTCATTGTTATTGAGGGACAGTCGCTTCATTCATTAGATCATGAATGAAAAGTGAAAATAACTGAAAATGAATGATGACCTGAGAGTGCTACCTCATTAAGGAAGATAAAAATAAAATAAAAATGGAGGTAGAAGTCAGGGCAGCATTTGACAGGACCCAGCAGCTTCTGATGCACTAAAAAGAGTCATTATCAGTTCCTGAATCACTTATCGCTAGCTTCTGATCTGTAGATATCTCCAGCTGTAAAGAAATAATGAAGGAATAAACTTACAACGCTTTCTTTCATTCCTTTCATCTTCAAATTTCTTTAATCTGCTCATGATCGGAGACCTGAATGGTTTAATCATTTCTGAGACTTTATCAGGAGTAATCTCCAAAAATTCAAAGCTGGTAAATCTTCTTTTTTTCTAAAACGAACTTAAGTTTAATTTCAGAATTATTTCTTCTAAATTACAAAGCTTTATTAATAAATTTAGCATGTATAATTTTGCAAGAAATATATGTATTATATTATATACTTTATTAATTTATTTTTAAAAGAATATAGAAATTAATATATTCAACTGATAAATTAAATAAAAATAAGACATATTTAACTCTAGTTTTACTTTATTGACCACCTAAGGGTGAAAAATTACATTAGTCAATTAAATTTTTTTAATTTTATTTTCTGGCCCAAGACTTCCTTTGAAGTCCTTCCTATGCTGAAATATTAAGTTGCTGTCATGTACTCTTTCAAATTTTCACCTATGAACTATTAATCTAAATTGTTTATATTATATCATTTTTATTGTGACCTTCTTGCACTTTTTTTCTTTGCCTCCTTCTGGCACTGTAGCTAGTTTTTACTAAATAAGCACTAAACTATTTTGTGTGAACTCGACATTTACCAAACCAAAATGAATGTTGAAATGAACTGTATATTTTTTGCCCTTCTTCCTCTAAAATATATAGCATAACATTTCAGATAGCAGTTGCATGCTAGTTGGTGAAATGTTTCTTACCTTAATAACCTTTTCTTTTTTTTATAACATAACTTCTTCCTGAAAATGAATTTCATTTGTCCTCAGTGACAACTTCAGCAGAGGTGCTTCAGAATAACACATTTTCTACATTTCTGCTCTATATTCAAATTTTAATTATCTTTATCTTCTGCTTCATCCTAGTACCTTTTAGGAAAAGCATTGTCGTCCCATTTTGGAAGTGAAATTACAATTTCAACGTTATCAAGGAAGAACCAATATATGAACAAATAGTATTTCCTCAGTTGGGTTTATTTAATTACTTTTACATTATTTTAAGTATGGTTGCTTTCATTCCTGATAATGGGTTGCTTTCTCTTCCTCTATTTTTCATTTCAGAGTGGAAATGTCTCCTAATCAAAAACCAACAAGATTTAAAAATTTTGAATGACTAATTTTTATCCCTATTCGAAATTCATGAATGCACACTATAGCTTCCACCATTAATCAATACAATAATCCTTTTTCAAGTTAATATTGGAATTACTAGGGAAACTTTTTTTAAATTTATTTATTTATTTACATGATATTTACAACTGTATACAAAAAATACATCTGGTAAATTCGCACATGGATATAATGACATGGAACACATGTTGAGAAACTACCCATTGGTAGCACTCTAATAATATGTCTATATTAGAACATCACGTGGCCATCTTCTTTTCAGACGCCTCGGAGGGTTATCAGGAATTGAATAGGAAGCAAGGTTAGAAACAAGAGGGTTGGGATGGTTATGAAGTTTATTATGGAAGGACAGATATCTGGATTGGGCCAAATCTGAAACATAAGGAACATTAAGGTCATTATGGATAATTTTATTTGTAACAAAATAAGGAGCATTGAGGATTTTACGAAGGATTTTGGATTGTAAGGATTGGATGCGAGAGGAATTTGAAGGTTTGGTGGAGCCCCATAGCTCGACTACGTAAGTCCAAATAGGCCTTATTATAGTCATGTAAATGAGTCTTTTATAATTAATTGGAAGGTTAGAGCGTTTATCTAGTAAGTGTTGAAGTCGGAAACGTCGAGCTGTTTCTTGTCGTTTCAGTCTGGTATGAGGATTCCAAGTTAGACGTTTGTCCAGATGGAGTCCTAGGTAATGGATTTGTTCAACAGGAATAAGTGAGGTGTTGTTAAAGGATACTGAAGGACAGGAAGTCATTGGTTTACGACGTGGGAAACTTTAAAAGAAAAAAGAAAAATTTGAAAAAATGTGTTTTATGATATTTACTGGACACCCCTACTATTTGTCTCTGCAAATAATATACTGTACAAAAAAGTACAGAGTAACATTTGGCATTGCTTGGTAAAATATTCTGTTATTATTATAATAATGGCGCAAAAGTCCTGCAAGAACCCAGGCCTCCTCCGCTACATTTCCCTCTATCATGGAACGCCAAGCCGCCTTAGATCGTCCTCCACATCCTCCAGCCATCTCTCCTGAGAGTGTTCTCTACTTCTTTTGCCATCCGGCTTCTCATTCAGCATTCTCTTGGGCATTCTTAACACTTGACCTCTTTTTATCAATGCCACAATATCAGGTTCTCCATACAGTTCCTGCAGCTCCTCATTCTTTCTTCTTCTTCTAATCCCATTCTCAGCGATTTCGCTTCATATTCTTCTCAGTAATTTTCTCTCCTAGGAGTGGTGCAGGTATTCTGAGTTTTTGGTTAAGGTCCAAGTCTCACACCCATACATGGTTTTGTAGACGAGGTATTTATTCTTTTAGATATTGATCTAAATTTCAAACATTCTATGCTTATACTAATTATTTGCCTTCAATGCTATAAAAGCTAATGTAAGTAGTCTGAACTATTGATTACACTTTTCCATACAGAAAACAGTTATGTCATGTATTGCAAATCTTCTTAGAGCTGTCTGAATTTTCTGTGGTTTGTGGACATAAAAAAGTGGAATAAGTTTCTAATCAACCCAATTTTATTATTTTTACATACCTAAGTTAGACTGATATATTTTTTTTAAAAATATTATAAGATCTAAAAATAATTTGAACATATAATTGTGTGGTTTATATAATTTGAAGAGAAGGGTGGTTGGGGTGTTCAGGCAAATTAAAATGGTAAAAAATAAATAATATTATTAACAATAATTAATAATTATTTATTTTTTACCATTAAAATTTGGCTGAACAAATTATAGTTAAAAATCACGTACTTCATTGGCAACTAACTTCTTACCCCATCTTCATTTCTGACATTTTCATTAAAATATAATAATAAGTCATCAGGCATTCTGTCATACATTCCTGGCCGCCAATCATCAACTGAATTCCTCCTATTCCACAATTTCCTAATTAAGTCAATCACTTCCACTTGTCTATCTGTTAAGCAGTCATTTGTAAAAGTCTATTAGAAATGAAATAAAAAAATATGTATATATTTATATCCTGTTGTTATATTAATAATTCACGCAAAGATTCAACAAATAATTAAATGACTAAGCATATAAACCATACATGGTTTTCATTCAATAATCTTTGATGTTATATCATAAAAAATATATTCAATTGTTATATTTTCAGAAAGAAATTTGAACTCTTTTTTTTTTTTTTTTTTACTTGATGTTTAAAGTAATAGTTTGAAAATGGTGGACATAAACACCTTTTAGACCACAATAAAATACAAATAAGAATTTTTTCTTATTCATTCATTAATATCAAACCTAAAAGAAAAAAATTATAGATAAATTATTATAATTTATTATAGGTGTTTGTGGGAATATTTGTGGTTTTTAAAATTAATAAAATGCAAAAATTAAATCAAAGTGGTATTTATTTTTAAAAAAACTGTTAAAATTGTTTTAATTATTTATGTTACAAAAAAAATAAAAAATAATAGTTGAGGGTTTTTTGTGTGTTGTATTTAGTATTATTAAAAATGTTAAGGTTGTTTTCTGTTTAAATTAATGGAAAACTAATATATACTTACGCCGTTCATTTCCCAAAATAGATTTGTAAATAAAAGGAACTTCATATGGTGTTTCTTTTGGCTTAGGCTTTTTTTTTAATCTGACTTTCCAAAATTCTACATTTCCTTTGCTGTCATGACCTTTAATAAATATATACTCCTTTCTGATTTTACGTTTCTTTATGGGCCGTTTTCTTTTATGGATATGGTCTTTAATATACTTAGAATTCTCTCTTTTTTCAGCATCTTCAGTTGCTTCAGTTTCATATTCAGAAACGACTAGTCTGTTCGGTTTACCCTTTAACTTTAATTTTCCTTCTTTAAGTAACCTGAAAGTTTCTTTTCTTGTTCTGTAAGTTTTCATTTTTGGCGGAGATGGTAATCTTAGTCCCCAAAGCTTCCTATGTAGTTTTAATGTTTCTTCATCCATCATTTCAGGCTCTACACTAGTTTCCATAGGCTTCCTTTTCTTTGGCCGTTTCATTTTTATAATTATTTCTTTTTTATTTATACAAAACTACAAAGATCAATCTAAACATACATATAAATAACTATTTTTATGAACAATTTCAACAATAAGTAGTATCACATGTTCATAACAATACAGGAATTTCTGTATAAAATAAACATTGGAAGCTGAATTTAATCTGCTTTTAGACCAACATAGAACTTTTAGCAATTAATCAATTTATAACTAAGAAAACAGAAGTTGTTCATAAAAATGGTCTAATATAATACTCATATAATTATTATACTAATTTATGAGCATAATTAAATAAGCTTTTGTTTTTTTGTAATCATTTGGTACAAAGTAAATGTATCTCGCAGTCCCCAAATCTTTTTTTTTTTTTTCAGTTGGCGCTACAGATCATTAAGATCTTTGACCACGAGATGTGGTCTCCTAGACCACATCCCGATTCCCGATTTAAGTAAACGGGGGTAGGATCGTCAGTCCTACATTCGGTGAGTTGCCTGACAGGCTTCACATACCCTTGGGGGGGAGGGATCTCGGGCAGCGTGGCTTTCTCTGGTGGACGGTCACCCATCCAAGTGCTAACCATGCTCGGCGTTGCTTAACTTTGATAACTTATTGCAAGCGCCTTAGCCCGCATGGCTACCCCAGCCCCTGCAGTCCTTATAATATTAAAAAATTTATCAAGAGTCACATGGAAGCAAACTCCTTATTGTCTTGAATATCAAAAAGATGATCAATGTATATTGGAGTGATGAACATAGCCAGATGAATGATCAAATTTAAGAAGCCTACAAACTTTAAAAGGAAATATCAGATAGTTGCAACCATGCATGTCAGTTAATTGCTGCGTAATCAAAATGATTAAGTGTAAACATTAAATCAAAGTTGTTTATCACAAAAACGTTAAAATAGTTTAATTTTTTTTAGAGGAAAAGATCATAAAGGTCAGTTATTGGAAAAATGGAAGAAAATAGTCCTGAACACAAAGAATTGCATTTGAAATTTTTGATTTAAATTAAGTAATATATTGGGTTGAGGAAAAAGTAATTCTGTTTTATCCCAATAGGTGACTTTAAAGTCTTTTATCTGTTGGAATTTATTTAAGAAAAGCACCACTAAAGGATAAAAGTTTACAGGACTATTATCCTAAATACATACATAGTTGGCACAACAACCCGTTAACGGGTCTAGGCCTCCTCCAAAAATCTCTGCCAGCCAGTTGGCTCTTTCTTTTGCTACAGGTCTTCAATTCCTAATGCCGAGAAGATTGTGTGTCCGCTGTAACGGAGTCAGCCCAACTCACATTTGGCTTACCCACTCTTCGCTTGCCATGAAGCTCTTCGGCCAATGTACTCTTAGGGATATCGTCCTCCTTCATTGCCCGCCCATCGGAGTCTCCCAATCTTGATCCACTTGACGATATCAGGATCTCTCTACAGCCTTGAAAGTACCTGGTTCTTCCTCCTTTTCCAGGTATCTCCGGGCCAAAAATTCTTCTCAATATGTTCCGTTCAAACCCTAGAAGGAGATTCTCAATGGCTCTAGTGAAGGCCCAGGTCTCTGACCCATACGTAGGAACCAAACGAGTTAGGATCTTATATAGGCTGATCTTGGTCTTGTTGGAGAGGTGTCTGCTCTTGAAATATTTTGCTAGCCCAAAATAGCTTTGATTGGCTATGGCAATTCTCCGGTTGATCTCCTGGGATAGGTCATTTTGAGTGTTTATTTCTTAGCCCAGGTATAAGAAACTTTGCTACCTCTCAAATTTGTATGATCCAACTTTGAAAAGTTATCCTAAATACTGAATGTAATGATTTATTTTTTCCAATAAAATAATATATGTTGGAAAAATTGTTTTTATTAATTTTTTACTTCTAATCAGTCTTTGTATATAAAATTTTGGTTGTCACTGTAATTCGTTGAAAGATATTATAACAGATCCACTGTTGCACAGCATTTGGCCTGGCACCATTTTGTGCAACTGTAAGAAAGTAGCAGTTTAATCTTTGCCATATATTTAATAATTTAAACATTTTCTACTAATAAAAAGAATCCTGGAGCTGAATCAGTTGCAAAAACAGTAAAAAAAAAAAACTGTAAAATTTTAGTTAAAATTAATACATTGTACACCAGTAATCTGTTACTATTAATCAAAGAATGACACACCCTACAACATTTAAAATATTAATTTACTTTTATATAAGTTGCTATTTGCCCAAAGTTTTTTCATGTAAACATCATACACAGCCAGGCTAATTACGGTCATTAGAGCTCCATTATTGGGAGTTATCAAAAGTCATTATGGGATATCCCACACCCTAGTGTGTTGTTTACGTGACTCTCCTGGGTGCCTCACACTGTCGTTTGCAGTCTATGTAACTGTTCTGTGAATTTCATATCCCAGTGTTTTCTTTATTTTGAAACTTCGATTCAATTTATAACTTAGGATACTTCAGGAATTGATTTCTAATATTATATTAATTAATAAGTGATGTTTTCAATTCCGACATTACTTTTAGTTTAGCAACTACCAAAAAAAAAAAGGATTCTTCTGAAGAAATCCATAAATGGTTATGGGAGTTAGAAGATAAAGAAAAGATGCTTGGCGTATATTATTTAATATGCTTTATTTAAAGATGGTACAGTAAATTTTGATCAAATATGTCATATGTACACAACAGCAATAAAAAATATCTAATGTGGTGCGCGCATCACACAACTTTCACTTACCGCCCTCTTCTTAGCAGAAATAAGTATTTTCAGAAAAAGTATAAATGAAAGTAAAAATTATAGACGCTATAATTATTTATATTTCATTGTGAGTATTTTTATTTGTATCAGTACCCTTATACATACTAATTTTAATATTTATATCGGTGTAATCTATTTAATTAAATATTAAATAATACCAACAATAGCATTTACAAACACCACATATGTATATTTATATAATATTGTCGGAACCCGTATTATATTAAGCTCATATTACAAATGGAAGCCTGTTATAATCTTTCGGGCGAGCTCGGGTGCGATCAATTACAACTATTCACCTTCACGATTTTTCATTTCTCCTTTAATAATTTATCAAATTCTTTCATATTTTATATTCAACTACTTTTTATAGTAGAGAATTATGTGAAATAGTCAATTAAGTCAAATAAAAAAAATAAAGGTACTTTAGAGGAAGCTAATATTGAAAATTAGCCATTTAAGCCCTGTTAGAGAATTCAACAATCAGACAATCAGAATAAAAACTATATTTTATTAAAAAATGCTTAATTTTACACTGAAATAATGAATTTAATCTAAATCGTTAGAGCCATTTCCGAGAAAATTGTAAAAATGTGTTTAGCCTATAATATAAAGTGTCACTTCCGGTCAGTTGATTTTGACGAAAAAGTTACTGTAATATCCCTAGCATATAAAAACCTTAAATATACAGTTTCTCTTTCGTATGACTTTTCACTTTTGAGCTAGACTGTTAACACACACAGACCGTTTTGCAGGACTTGGTTATTTGGACTCAGGGGACTTCAAAACATGTATTAACATTGAAAACTGAGATTCAAAAATTTTCACAATCACAATACTTTCCTTTACTATATATTTCATAAATAGGTAAATGAAAGTAACAAGGAGGCTGTATCGCCAATTTTTCGTTGGAATGTTGACCCATGCTGGTATAAACAGCATGATATTGTTCAGTTTAGTTAACTGGGAAAAGAAAATGAAATTGAGAAATTATTTATTTGACCCTTTTTTTTATTTTTTAGCGATGTAGATGTTAACTTTTTACTTTACGTGAGCATTTAAAATATATCTAAGGTTACCTTGAATTTTTTTTTTGGTTTTCTTGATCATTTAGTGTATTTCTGAAAAGCATTTGAGTTTTTCAGATCATGACAATTAAATTTTATGATAATTTAAAGTTTGGGTGTACCAGAGTGTCAGAATGAGTTACCGTATTTAATTGTGTCGTTCTAGGGTTAATTGCGAAAGAAGGACTATGAAACCCTGTTTTATTTAATCATAAATTTTAAAGGTATACTAGAAATCATGGAATTAAAAGAAAAAACAATTTTTAATTAAATTAAATATTTACAAAATTTACAGTATACTATTTACATTTAAATATCAACAAATTTTTTTAAAAGATGTAAACGTTTTACAAACTTTTACTTTCATACTAGAATTAAAAACTAAACTGTAATTGTTGTCTCCCCTTGTTGTAAATTTATGTGGTTGCAAATTCCAAGATAGAGGAGCATCATCAAAACCATGGACATGAAGAGCTACCCATGGTATACCAGGGCGAACAGACACATATTCTCTGAAAACAAATAAATTTGGCATAAATAAATGTTTATATTAAATACAATGTTGTTTATTTAGATAGATTTTAATTTATTAATACCAGGAGTTGAAACTTTTTTAAGAAGTTCCCTTTTAACATTTTCTGTAAAACTTTTTATGAAAAATAAAAAAAATAAATGAATTATAAAATAATGATGAAAAACTTTTTTTAAATAAAAGTCTAAGTTTATGGTTTAAATTTAACTTTTATTTAAATTTAAAAAAAAAGTTACATTGAATGAGAAATAAACAGTAATTGAGCTTAAATTATAGTTGAAAATTTATCTTAAATGAATTGCTTGATTTTTTATTTGCTGTTTGTTTGAGTAACTGAGAATAAAAGAATTTTTTAGATTGACTTTTTAGCGAAATCAATAGAACTTTTGAGTAAACTTTTTTAAAAATTAAAGTTCTGTAAAAATTTAACTTGAAAATTTGCACAAGAAAAAGTTTTAGTTCTGAAATAACAGAAAAAATAAATGAAAATCAAGACTCAAGTAATACTAAAACTGATTAAAAATAAAAGTTGAGAATTCATTTCAAGCCCTGATTATAATAAATTAAGTATGTTACATATTTAATTCCATTTAGTGAATAATAAGTTGTTACTTTGAGTGTGCATTGTAAAATATACAAATATGAAAATATAAGGTAAATATACCAGACAGTTTTCAACTCTTTAAGAAATAAAAAGATTTATACAACCCAGAGATGGTGCAAATCTCTGGGGAAACTTAAAACAGTAATGCCTGAACCTCAAGTGATAACATGATACAATAGCTGATTGGCACTTAATTGTAAAATGCAGCAAAGCTGGTTGTTTCTTTCAGGAATGTTTTCTTATTACTTTCCTTTAGGAGATGAATGTTAAATTTGGATTTGCTGACTGTTAAACCCATTTGCAAACATACACCATCAGAACTGAAGCTGTGGTTTACATTAATGTTGAAAATCTCTCTTAAATCGTCTATTACTGGTATATTTGCCTTAAATAAATAAAGATTAACACATAAAAAAAAATTGCTTTCATTTCTGAATTTCGATATTAACTGTGACCCACAATGATGAAATTAGAACAGTTCAGATCAACTGTGAGGATTAACACTTCCTTAGTGGAAAAATAGAGTAGAATAACTCTACCCTCGCTAGTATTGCTAAGTAAACTGTAATAATGACTTGCCCTCATTCTAACAGCTGTTTAAATAACAGTTATTTTTGACTTAAAATTAACCTATTTAAAAACCAAAAAGTATTAGGGTCAATAAAACAAGGGGAGGTCATAGGTCATAGGTTACTGGTGATTTCTCTTTATATATAAAATAAGAAAAAAATATCATTGATTGTGTATTAAATAAGTTCATATGTAAGACATAAACTAACATATGACACAAAATGGTCTCTAGAGCCATGTTGAACGAAGACCATTGGCTTACTTCAAAGAAGGGACTGATTGACTTTTCTGAACTTGATAATTAAACAGCTGTTGTTTAATCATTTCTTTATTGCACTACACTATCAAGATTGTTACTTAATTCTCAACTTCTTTCCAATATCTTTAGTTAATTAATTGTTCATTTCTAATTAATGTAGATATTCTATTTATATTGTTATACAATCTCCAATTTCTCACATTTGTTATTTATCTTTAATGATCTGTTTATTGTACTTAATAACTTTTCTTTTACTTTTTGTGGTTATTTTCTTATATTTTAAACTATTCAATTTTGAATGCATTAGAATAAAATAGAAAATAAACTTTATTGTGGGATTAACTCCCCTCAGAATAACAATAATGAACAAATACAAACAAAAAAATACACATCTGGCCAAAAACTAACTTAATAAAGATTCCAACAATATATAGGATAATTTAAGTAATAATATGTAAACAAATAAAAAATAAAATAAAATTGTCTCAAGAATACTTATAGTAATGAAAAAAAAAATATCAAAAATAAATAAAGTATTGACTTTTTATATTAAAACATAAACATATATATATATAGCTTAAAGATAATGTGCTATAAACTAATTATATATTTTAATACTCGTTATTTCAATAAGATTATATGTGTACAAATATACCCACCCATTACAGGGTTACTGTAATAAGTGAAGTTCATACGTACAGAAATTATAAAAAAAAAAAAAGAAAAAAGATAAACAATAAAATAGGCCAAGTAAATTTTTGTTATGAAGAAGCAAGTCATATTAACTTTTATTCCTTTAAATGTTTTAAATACAAATTTTTATGGTAATAAAAAATTATACATTTTAGGACTTAATTTCTTGGAAAATTGTACTGAAATGTAATTGAAGGTTTTATTCATTTCAATCCTATAGGGTTAAGACGTAAAGTCTAAAAGTGTTGATAAGGGCCAGAAGGGCTAGGATTCCAAGAGTTGTAGAAATGTTGAATTTGGAGACAATCGGGAGAAGTTATGAATGCTTTAGTAAATGACAGGAAAACAATTTTTCCAAGAAAATGAGGTCCTAAAATTTGTATTTTTATATAAATTCATATTTAAGAGTTTAAAAAGACACCAATAACAAATCTAACTTAGGCTTTGAATCCAAACAGTTTAAATCTAACTTAGGTTTTGTGAGTCCAGAACTAATTTTGTGTTTTCATCATATGTATTATGCACTCATGGAAATTTATGACAAAAACAAGGTAAATCCACACATATCTAGTTTTTACATCTATGTATAACAGATTGACAGATTTCTAACATACATTTGTATTAACTGATGATGAAGTCATCTCCACATTATTTACCTAACAGAAGAGGACTGATGTTACATTTATGTCTGGTTATATGTGGCAATCGAAATACCTAAATAGTTCACATGAAATAATGTACTAAACATTTTTTGAAAAACATGACTAATCTATTACTTGTGTCATGTTCCTCAATTGAAACTTCAACTAGTGCATCAAGTCTACAACTTCAACAGTTAGAACAAAGTTTCACATCAATTTCAATAATTGAAACAGGCTTTCACAAGTGCAATTGTTGAAAAAAAAATATTCAGAACAAAATTTTCAAGAGCTTAAATAAAAAAAAAAAAAATATATATATATATATATATATATATATATATATATATATATATATATATATATATATATATATATATATATGTGTGTGTGTGTGTGTGTTTGTGTAAGAATCTGTTTGGTAAGAAAATATTTTAATTTTTCAATCTGTATGGATTTGAACTAGTCATTTATCAGTTAAGAATGTTAATACTTTCAATTTCAAATTTTTTTCAATTAAAACACATCATTACACAGACAAATTCCTAATTTCTTAACTTACAAGCCATTGGTCAAGGGTTTAAAAACTTAGTAACCCTTTGAGTAGAGGGATGGACGAGCACGTTGGGGCGTGGGTCCCAGAGTGCCCGGTTCTGAACGTTGTGGGTTCGATTCCCATCTGGGTCGGTTATTTTTCATTTCTTGGTGGCCCCAGGAAATGGATCGTGACATTCCCACTCTGGTAAGTACGCGGCGGCAACCTTAAAGGTAGCTGTCAGGGGTTGGCAAAAAGGACCACTATAGGCCCACTTGCCAGACTAGTTTCCCCCACCCAGTACCAGTAACCCTTTGAACAATATGTTTACCAAAATTGTTGTAGTTGGAAGTAGGTTCTTAAATTTCATATTTCTCAACTTTCAATTTTCAAATATAGAAGTGGGGATATCCTCTCTGTTATTCCCTCCCCCCAATAGCAATGCCCCTGATTTAGTATTCCTTGTTCAACAATTATACAAAGAGTTAATGTAGTCTCAATCAAATAATAATAATCAATACCTAACTGCTTAGAAGCTTTATCTTTCAACCCAACGAAGGATTGAAAGATGAACCTTATGTGGTCTTCATTTAATAAATCATGGATGTGACCCAGAAGGGTGTTAAGTGGTAAAATAGTATTGTGTAATTGATTTATGAGTAAGAATATTTCTCATTTACTGAGTAAAAAATTATTACTTCATAGTACGTCATCGAGCATGAGGTATTTGGAATTTAAATTAGATTTTAGGTCATATTTAAAACATTTGAAAATTCAGCCACAGCCAGCGAAAAGATTATCCAGGAGGCAGTCTTTGATTAGAGGTCTTGTGCGACATGGTCAATTCTACATACTGTGACCTACTATTGATAAATAGGTTCAGTGATTATTAAACCAAATTTATAACCAGTATTACAAATTTCTATATCTAAATCTAAAATATTATTTGAAATTGCAATCCAAATAAGAACATAATTTTTATAAAATAAAAATAAAAAGTTTACTGACAATCAACCTGAAGTTTCGATGTAATAATTATTAAGATCATACCTCATAATATCCAATAATTTTAAAATTCTTCTTGAAGAGACAAACCCAGTCCACTTTAAAGTTAAAACTTGTCCTATAATTTCAGAATCTTCAGGATGCTGATATGTGGATAAATATTCTTGAGTATTATCATCATTTCTAAAAAAATTCATCTCATATTAGAAAATAATATTGATTTATTAAGACAAATTAAGCTTGAGAGCAGATAGGATAAACTTCTACTTTTCAGCACTCTTAAGGAAACTTTAAAATGTGTTTGTTCAGTTTTCAATAGAGTGGGTACTTGGTTCAACAATTTTGGTTCTGTTAAGTTAATAAAGATCTTTAATTTCAAAATATATATGTAAAAAAGTGTCTTTCATTTATTTGTTTATAGTAAAACAGAAAAATATCTTTATGCACCAGTTATTGGTGCCATTTTTTCAGTTTTCGGTACCCAGAAGTACAACTTTTCGACACCTCTTATCCAATTTTAAAAAATCTAGAGATTAAATCTGGCAGCCTTCATAACAAAAGAACTATAATGATATTGTACAGTGTGTTTCTTGCCAAAAAACTTAAGACACGTCTATCCTGGACAACATCTGTCGGGTTTCTAATCTTTAGCGATTTTTTTAACCTATAAAACTAACTAGTGGAAGATGCTGGAATATGTGAGTGCAGGAAAGATTATTGCTTCATTTTTTGATATAAAATAAGCGCCTTTTGCCAGTTCTAGACCATTCCTAATATGCTCAATATTTTTCAGTGGGTGCCGAAAACGGGGTGGGATGCTGACAACTGGGGGTTCAACCCTACATAGATATAACAGCATTGTGTAGCTAAATGCAGTAGAGTATTTCAAAGCTTTTAAGCAATTTTTACAGACTAATGTATAAAGACCCTTCTGGCTATTGAAAGAGTGGAAAATTAACCTTTCAATAATTTTTATATTGTCTTAAATAGAACAACAATATACTTCCTGTTTGACATAGCATTGTAAATTATAATTAATTTTAAAAAAATACAAAATCATTTTTTGATTTGAATAATAATTGGAATAACATGTAAAAACAAAACTCTTGTTGGTTTCATTAAATGTTCAGATGCAGTTTGAGACAATAAAACAGTGGAGTAGAAAGAGTTGAAAATTTAGGAACATTGAATGATAAAAGACAACAATTTTACAAAGACCCATAGTTTAAATCAAAGTAAAGTTCAGAATCTTCAGTACAAAAATAATAAATACAAATTAAAAGATAATTAATATAGACTACAGTTTCTTTTTCAATAGCCTAGTTAATAATACAATTTTTTTGACTAATAAAAAAAATGTGTTGCACGAGTATCACACAAGTGGCAATTTAGATACGTCAATTTGAGAGGAAAATGTTGCTGTAGTTTTCCAAGCATATAACTACCTTAACTACAAAATTTGTATGACTTTTAATTTTTGAGCTAGGCTGTTCATAAATACACAGAGACCATTTTAGCATACTTCGTTATTCGGACTCAAGGAATCTTAAAATGTGTAGTTTTATTAAAAACTTACGATTCAAAATTCTTTGCAGTACTTTTCTTAACTATATATTTTATATATACATAGGCGTAAATAAAAATTACATGTGAAGTAAAGGAAGTTTTAAAAATTTTGTTTCAATATTTTTAATCAGAAAAATGTTTTGAACCTTTCCAAATTTTGTTTAAAAATTTTAATGAATTAAAATTAGTCTGGATAATTAATGGTCCGGTTGAATGATGTTTGGTTAATCATACCGACGCTCTATAGTGCTTTTTCGATGCACTTTTAATGACTTTGACATTCTTATTTTATTAAAAATTACTTCATGAATTTAATTCATTTTGTTTTCTTTAGTTGTAGAAAAGTAACAGATGTTGAAATAAAATCTTAAAAATTGCAAATTAAAATATGCTTTAAGTAATTTTAATTTTTTAAAATAAAGAGAGTTTATTTTCAGACTGCCCACATTTTACAGAAAAAGGGATGTTCAGTGATTTGTTTGCCAGTTGTGGGAATGATGCCTAAAGAAAGTGACATTACTCTGATAAAAGTTCCTTAACTCAGAGCTGAACTTGTCATTGGCATCAGATCTATCTTTAAACTGAGAATAAGAACTCTAGATTCATCCAAAAATAATACATATCTGAAGAAATTCTTGTTCTATACTAACTTTTGCTTAGCTCCATTACAGTGTTCTAATCAGGACAGTACCTTGATTGCTTAAGAGTTTCATGGAATTTTTCAATTAAGATTGCAGTTTTTGCTAACATCTGCCAAAGCGTGGATTTTTTCTCACTTTCTTCAAAATAGTGGCCTGAACTTGCATAGCCTACTGACTATCTAAAATGAGATATTCACTTGCCGAGCATTTCTTATCATACATAATAAAGTTTTATAAGGTAGGTACTCTCAATGATCAGGAAAACGTAGAGCTTAAAGCCTCGCAACTAGCCTTGATAAGTTTACGTGCTGTTTTAAACAGCAACATTATAAACAGTAAGAAATGAAACAAAAGGCTCCAAAAATGATAGTTTAACTACTTGCCAAAATGGTTATGATCATTTTTACTAACTTAATTTAGCATTGCATAATCTTAGGAATCGATGAAGTAAACTAAAATTTTTTTTGACCGATAAATCAATAATTTCAAAATTATGCTACAAATATCAATGTAATTACTAATAAACATACAACATATTTATAAATAAATCAGGAAAAATTTACTGTTTAGTAAAAAAATATAATAATTACGTATCAGGTCCACCGAGTAAATATATTCCCAACCATTCAAACATCTCAAAATTAGATGTTTCAAATTTGGGTAACATTACTTCATAATGTCGTTTCTCTTCATAATTTAATTCGGATTCATAGCAATCAATTCCCTTTCCATGAAAGTAAGAAGCTACAGAAGATGGACAGATCTTAGTGTCTAAAAGAAAAGAAAAACTTACAAGATTAATAATCTCAGAGATTAAATCTGGATTTAAGTGTTTGACTTAAACTTACCTTCAGGTTCCCAGAGGAGGATAATATCCATTTTCAAATTAGTCGCTTTTAGACGATTATAAACTCTTTGAAAATTTTTCTTTTTAGGATTGAAGCACTTCTCTTTTAGATCAATGAATATTACTAATAAACAATTTTATAAATACAATTAGATTTTATTAATAAAAAAAAAAAAAACAATTAAATGGTGATGGTTTTCAACTCACAATATCTATTGTCAATTTCCTTTATTTTCACAGCAGGTCCTTGTTCAATACCCATTTCGAGAAAATGATTTCTCTGAAGAGACAGAACTAAGATCCCAGTAGGTGTCAGACAGCAACAGTTTTCGACATCCAGCATTTTTTCAACACTTAATGCTGTTACTTCTCCTGTAACATAAAAGTAATTATCATTATACTGATAGATGTTTCTTCATGTGAAAATTTGGCATATTTTAACTCCATTAGCGTATAGATTCAATTAAATTCAACACCTTGGAAATAAGATATTATTTTTAAATGATTTAATGATGAAGTAACCAAATACAAAATTTATTAAAATTAACAATAAATGGCAATAATCTGAACTATATTTAAAATTTCAATCAGCTAACAGATCTTTTTGCTCTAATACCTGTGACAGGTGGAGAATCACAGTATGGAACTTCTGTAAAGCAAACTTTAATAAAAGCATAAAATATTACTCTTTATAAGTTTATAAACACTTTAAACACCAATAAGTATGAACTATTACAGGATGAAGAGAAAGCTCAAATGATTTAATGTTCTTAGTTAAATTTTAAAGACTCTTTTGTAACTTATAAATGGTTCAACATTAAATAAAATATTTCATCAATTAGTCATAGAACTAAAAAAAAATTAGTTCTAAATAAAACAGCTTACTTGTTACATACTCAGAAAGAAACTTAATAAGGAAATTAAAAAATATACCTTTCTTTACAAATGCTTCAATAAATGCATAATCGATAAAATGATAAATTGGGAAATTTGAAAACAAGTAGTAATCCGAATCATGAGATAAACTTTCTTTAACTTTTGACCATATCTGAAGAGTATCTGGAAATACTGCAACAATCTACAAAGTAAATTAGAAAATATAAGTACTTTTTCTTAATGTTATATTACAAAAAAATATTTTAAAAATTTACTCCATGGTTAAAGTGATGACCGATGATGTTCTTCTTAATTATATCATTATCCAAATTTGTGTCAATGAAATGAACATTATCTTTGGATGGTTTAATTTTAAACAGATCTGGAGCCAACATTGTGATGGATATAATCAGGACGTCTGAAGTATAATCACAAATCCACGTGACATCTCCATGAACGGGGAAGGTTATAATGTTTGTAAACAGAGTAGCCAGTGCAGATTGTCATCATTGCATCTAACTTTTCAGTGCATATTTTAATTAATTTATTTCAGTAAATCAGTATAATTATTAAGGACTTATTACATAGATATATTTAATAAGTTAATAATAAATTACTTCGGGATTTTGAATTAATATGGATATAGTTAAAAATATGAGTGAAGAAGATGTATGACAAGCTAATAATATGAATATATTATATTTTTAATATCAAATAAAATAGTATTTAAATGTTTGTTTTAGAAATTAAAATTGACGGTCCATAGTGTTGTCAGCAAAATTTGTGATGATGTCGGAAAGAATAATACATTTATTGGTGAATTCGACTTTACTGTCGATGCTAAAACTATTATAACTGAATTAGTGTGGAAAAAAATGGAGCAATATGTTGAAGATCTTGAATCATTTGCTCAGTAAGTATTATGCTTTTGACTAAAAGAAAACATAGGGATCCAAATTTCTGTTCGGTTTTTTATATTTTCTCAATTGAATGATATTCAAGTCTGGTGCTTATTATCTTTATCTATACCAAATAATCTTAGTAGTAATTAGTGAATTCTTACCAGTTTGAAAGATGAACTGTTTTAAAAGACCTGCTGTTAGTTTACAAGTGTGATATCTGGTTGATTAATGATTATTATTACACTGTTCTTAATATCGCGAAAGCCACTGAGTGTGTCTGAAAGTATGAAGAAACTACTGATCTCCAAACTTTCCTTAGAAATATGGAAATGAGGTCTCGCATTAATGTGATTATCGACATTTGGCTAGTTACTGCCAATATAGAGGTGTTTGGAAAAATTTGTTAGCGTTTTCCATAGAAATATTCTGAAAATAATATTGGAAGGAAAATCTCAAGAAAAATGTAGTAGAGAGTGACATTGGTTAAAGGTAGATCGGTTGTATCGATAATATTTTGGGGAGAATGGGAATTAATAGAGCCAAGATATAGGATGTGAATTAAAAAACTATCCTAATTGAAAAAGATAATGAAATAACAGTTGTTTCCTAACTTGGTGAAAATTATTTCTAAAAATTCTAATAAGTTTTTCATTATAATCTGGTGAATTAAATTTAATTTTATGATTGACTAAAAAAGTATCAAATGTTTAGTAATTTTTTATAAATCTTTTAGACATGCCAAACGTAATCAGATTAATATGGAGGACGTAAAGTTATTGTTTCGAAGGAATCCAAAAATTGTAAGTTAGCATATCTGTTAATTAATTATTGTTTTATAAACTACACATCTTATAACTTCTTATATGTTAAATATTAGCTGGAAGAAATCACCAAACTTGAGGCAGAAGACTCTGAAAAGCCAGCTGAAAAAGGCAAGAAACGAAAGCAAAGTTCTGTAGAAGCAGAAAACGATGAAAATTGAAACAAGATTTGTAAATATTAATAGTTGCTATTAATTACTTTTATGAAGAGTAATTATCTGTGATATTTGTGTTTTGTGCCATGATTTCAATTAGAATTAATGGTTTGTGATGAAAATATTTGTCAATAAAAAAATAAAATATAATTTGAAGAAATAATATATTATCATAACTAGAAAAATAATTTGAAATAATTCTAGAATACTAGAAAATTTGAAAAAAAAAAATTCAAATAAATAATTCTAATTTTTCTATTTAAATTCTAATAATTTTGATTATAATTAATTTCCTAAAATACTACACTAACAATTAGTAGCAGATTCAGTATTTAATTTTGGAGGGTGATAAAATTAATTTTCTATTTTTGGGCTGAGGAGCTTCAGCCTGAAAGCCCCCTTTCAAGTAGATCCAATTATACTAACATTAATTAAGAAAACTTGCTGGACAAGCATGTTAAAACATTCTCTGTCTGTGCATTCTTGAATCTGGCCTGGGCCGGTTGAAATTTATTTTTTGGTAGACCCAAAAAATAAATTTTGACCTTCCCACCCTAGTTAGAATAGGTTTGGTTGAACCTCTAGAATTACTCCATTTCTTAATTTTTGTTTTGCTCATATATATGTTATGAATTCATGAAAATTCAATGCAATAGTTTTTACTTCAAACTGTTGCTCATGAAGCAGTGCAGGTTTTAGTGGGAGAGGTACCTCTCTCTTGAGTTCCACCTGCAAGAAAATAGGACTAAGTATATTCTTAAAAAAGGAGGCTAAGCAAGTCTTCCAGAAAATCTCCAAGAAAGGATTGTGGTAGATTCATCTAAATGTAAAAGAATGATACAGGACGACACCTTTGTGCAATGGAATCAACGGTGATTAACTATTCTTAAAGGCTCTACCTTCAGAAAATACTTTCCTACTGCCTATTCAAGGCTGGAAGTAAAATGGATCCGCCCTGATTATTGGGTGTCACAATTCCTCACTGGGTATGGGGAGCTTCGTGCCAAGCTTCATGCCTTTGGGGAAGAAATTAACCCTCTATGTGGTGTTTCGAAAACTGCTGGGCATGTTACGACCAGCACTGCTTTTGAGGCTATAAGGGCCAAACTATTTTGTGAAACAGTACTGTACGCCATCATAGAGGACGATTTCTACGAGCTAGTAAACAAGGGTAACCACCTGTATTACGAAACTTTCATGTACCCTTGTAAAGAATTAGTGGGGATTGATCATTTCAACCAGTTAGAAGAAAGAAGAATCAGAAAATAAGCTGTTGAAATATTGTGATACCTCTACCTAAATCCGTGCTTCTGAGAGGCAAGGAAGGAAGGAAATAAATAAATGTTACTTCAATTTGGTTACTATCAAAAATATATTTTCTTAATTTAACTGTATTGTTGCCTTCAGTTGTTATTTATTTAATTATTACTCATTTGGTAGATCTTTTATCTATCACAAGGTTTTATAAATATTATTAATTTATTTTATTCTATTTGTTTTACAAATTATGTTTTATATATCGCTTCTTTAAGAAGATTACTCTACGGTCATCATCAGGGTCATTTTTTGGAAGTCGAGAAAGAACTAGTTTTGTCAATTCTTGTCTCGACTTCCAAATGACCCACATGTTTGGGTCGTAACATATATATATAATATATAAAAAACGTATATATAAATAATACAATTGTTTATATAATTGTACTACTCATTGCTCAAATTGTATAGTTGTAATTTACTTGTCTTCTGTTGTTTAGATTGTACAATTTTTTTAATTAAATGAAATAAACGGAACGAAACTACAGTTCTGACAAATTTTTAATTTCTTTAAAAATCTATATTATACATTGTGCCTTATTGCCAATAAGAAGTGTGGTGTTTTTGTTACGGTCCGTCCCACTTTGTATATGTAAAATAAAATATGATACAGTCCCTAAAAACTTTATTTTATAATAGAGAGATAGACTCTAACCTCTAAATTGTTACCCATGTGGTTATAATTAAAGAAACAAATAAGGAAAGGAACTGAAATGTGGTGTCAGAAACAACAATTTTCACAAAATCTTGAAACTTCCACATGTGTTGTTTCCACAATAATCCATTCATTTATGATATCTACTGTATTAAGCTTATAATTTAATTAAAATTTATTTAGTTAAACAATAAGATTATTTCTTTTTTTTTTTTTTGTGCATCTTTATTATGCCTAAATTATTGATTTAAATAATGATCCATTCATAAAATGTAAATTTTTCATTGTTTTATAATTATATATTTTTTTCAAAGGTGTTGTGAAAAGTTCACCCAGTTATGGGCTTAGAACATGAAGCTCTTCTCTGAAATATGGAAGAGAAGTGATTTTCTAACTTTATAGAGATTATAACTGAGAATAAGGTTAAATAATTTTCCTCATGAGTTAGGTATATTGTGATCATCATCCTAGTCTCCTGCACACAGTTCTTCTTTACCTCGGAATGAGTAAGGCTGGTTTCAGATGAGGTGGTTGTTTTGATGAGCATTAGGAGTAGAATAAAGAGGCTTTTTGTCTTGGAATCACCGCTCACGCACACTGATCTGAACGTGTAGGAGGATGTACATCTGGCATACGTCCTGCTCAGAAGCTCCTTATAATTAGATGAATCCACTCATATTTTTACTACTTGAATTAATTTCCATTTTTTCTCCTCACTTGTGTTCGTTAAAATTTAATAATAAATCCCTTTTTTTCCCTATTCTAAAATAATGATGTCTGAATTGGCAAAACATTAGTTATTTTCTGCTATTTGAGCGACGAGAGTCTTTCTTTTGAAATATCCTTATTATAACCTGATGATATTTTATCAATTTATTTATATGAAGCGTTATAAAATAAACCACCTCATGACCATGAGAAAGGTGTCAACAATGTCTTTAAAATAATTGGATTAAGTCAGGGACAAAGTGGTATTGGGTACTGCCCTTCCTCATGCCTGACATGTTGCCAACTCATTTTGCTGATAGTCAACAGACAATATTTGACAGGTACAAATTAAAGACAAAAAAAAGAAGTAATTTAAATTATTGATATCTGACTGCTCTAACACTTACTAGACAAACGCTCCAAACTTTCTATTAATTACAAAAGACTTATCTACATAACTATAATAAGACCTATATGGACATACGGAGTTGAACTTTGGGGCTCCACCAAACCATCGAATTCCTATCGTATCCAATCCTTACAATCCAAAATCCTCTATAAAATCCTTAATGCTCCATACTTTGTCACAAATAAAACCATTCATAAAGACCTTAATGTACCATATGTCGCTGATTTAGCTCGAGCCAGATATCTATCCTTTCATGATAAACTTCAGTCCCTTCCAAATCCGCTTGTTTCCACTCTTGCTTCTTTCTCGATTCCTGATAATCCTCCTAGGCGTCTGAAAAGGAGATGGCCTCGTGATCTTCTTACTTAAAATTATTTAGAGAGTGCTACCACTGGGTAGTAACTCTTCAAGCCTGTACATTCCATTATTTATATTTGCGCA